TCTTAGAATTTAAAAAAACGATTTTCCTAGACAGAAAAACGGTGCGTGATTGCCGAAGGCAGGGATTGAAACCTGAGCAGAAACGATTCCAGGTGTTTTAAACGGGAAGGTATTAGTGCTGGGCGCCAGGTGCTCAGACCACGCAGGGAGGCCGGAGCTGTGGGCTCCAGGCTCCGGGCTCCGGGCCCCGGGCCCCGGGCCACGCCCTCAGGAACGACGCCCGGGACGACGCTCGGCTTGGAACCCGCGGACCAGGGCTGCTGCCACCGCCTCTGAGGCCTCCGCCGCCGGCACCGCTGGTGCAAGCACCGTCAGTCCTGCCGGTGACCCTGGATCACTTCTGCCGTCCACCGCTGCCGGGGGACTCTAACTGCTGGGGCCGATCTGCACCCAGAGCCCAGCTGCGAGCGTGCCTGGGAGATGCGGCTGCTGCAGCCTCCGCGGTGAGGAAGGCGGGCGGGCGGAGATCAGCCAAGCGCCCCCCCGCCCACCCCCCGTGTTCTCCCAAAAGAAAGACCAGGGAGGAAGCGAAGAGGCAGAAAAGCAGACGTGAGAAATGGTCGTTGGCAACCACTCAGCACCAACAGGAATCCCAGTTTGGGGTGGGGTGACAAAGGAAACTTTATTCAGTGCAAAACAGCGCAGTTGTGATGCAGCAGGGCTGTGAAAACAGCTGGGCTGGGAGGCAGCCTGGGGCCAGGCCCCTCTCTGGCCGGCCGTGCTCTGTGCTGGGTGGGTTTAGTGCTGCTGGGCTTGCCCGCTCTCTCCAGCGAGACATCCTTGGTGTTTCAGCTCAGCCAGAAAGACACAGCCTTGCCCTGGCTGGTGTGGCTCAGTGGATCGAGAGTTGGCCTGCGAGCCAAAAGGTCGCCGGTTCCATTCCCAGTCAGGGTACATGCCTGTGCTGTGGGCCAAGTGCCCAGTTTGGGGCAGGTGAGAGGCAACTGATTAGCTGTATTTCCCACACATCGATGTTTCCCTCCCTCTCTCCTTTCCTCCTTCCCTCCTCCCTAAAGGTAAATGAAATCTCCTAAGAAAGGGAAACTATCCTCCTAAAGAAAACTGGCTTATAGGGACAGAAGTTCCCACACAGTGGTCTCATGCAAATAAGGATTCCAAATCCCCAGTTTGATTGGTTCGAAAAACACTGTCCTGAATTGGACACAATAGAGTTGCTCTGGTTGGTCAGAGCTGCGCAGCTTGGGTAAAGCCTCAGTCTTATTGGTTGAAATAAGATTCCAGGAGCCCCTTTATAAGGGCTGGCTCAGGCGGCAGAAACGCAGTGCGGGCAGTGCAAGCTTCTTCCAGACGTGAAGTCAGTGCGAGCAGGTGGTGTAGAAATGGCTGCGAGGCTGTTTTTGAAAATTTGAGCCCACTTAGCCACCAGCAGCCCTTCTCAGTAGACGTCGTTTTTCTCAGGGTCCACAGTAACAATCCACCGTCATTCACCGTCCCGAGCGCGGTCCGCACTCACCCCCGTGTATGCCCTCGCGGGTGCCTTCTCTGCGTGTGCGTTCATACACATTTCAAACCAATCAGGGTCACATTGTGCCCTTTCCCCACTTACCAGTTTTCTGAGACAGATCATAACTATTTCCCCAGGTCATTACAAATTCTTCCAAAAACCAGTATATTTTTAACTGGTAGTGAAATATCCCCAGGGTGGCCGTCCTGTTGTAAAAGCCCATTTCATGTTTTTCTGCATTTGGACTATTTCTGTTTCTGACCTTCCAGATACCACAGCGGCAGGCATCTTCGCGGATATCGAGACATCGTTGTCCGCGCTTTGAATTCCTACTTTTTTCTCCACTAGAGAAAAGTTGGAGATGCTGGGGAAAGTCACAGAAGGAGAAAGGAACCCCTGGAACACCCCCTGCCCCCAGAGACCTGGGGCCCGGGGTCAGGTCGACGAGCCCCAGCGTGAACGGTGCCAGATCCGGTCTGCTTTCCCACAAAGCATCAGGACATAAACACGTCCCGGTTATTACACGTGTGCCCCACCCTGGGCCAGCAGCCGCAGAGGTCTCCCTCCCTGGACTGGCCGGGCCTGCTCAAGTCCATCACCACGTTTCCTTCCATTCTGCACCGCACTCTGCTGGGCCTGTCTCTGCATTATGCTGCTCCCCGAACTTCCGGCCACTTCCTCAGGGCATGTTCCCAAGAGGGCAATCAGGGGGCCAAAAGGTAGAAAGCCTTTGTGAGGGGTCTTTGGCTCACATCACACGTTTCCGTGCTTTTTTTGAAGCCATTTTTGTTTTTTTTTTTCTTGACCTTGTTTTAATAGCAAACACTCATCTAGGGCTTACTCCGTGCCAGGCGCTGCTCTCCGCGCTCTCCTGTGCTGACTCCCGTAATCCTTGTGACAAACCACAGTGGGGGAGGGGCCATCACAGTGCCCACTCTGTGGCTGGGGACCCCGAAGCAGAGAGAGGGTGCGTAACCTTCACAGGGCCACACAGCTGGCCCGCAACGGAGCTGGGATTTGAAATCAGGACGCTGGCTCCCAAGCCACGCCCTTAATTCTAGGCTGCTGCTGCAGATGACCTCTGCCCGTTTGTTGGGTTTTTTTTTTTTTTGAGAGAGAAAGGGAGGTGGAGGCAGGGGAGGGGAGAGAGAGAGATTTGCTGTTCCACTTATTTACACATTCATGGCTGGATTCAACCCGCAACCTTGGCCTCTCTGGATGCTGCTGACAGAGCGCCTCGGCCAGGGCCGTCCTTCCCAGTGGTCAAGTTGTGCACGTCCTGAGGTACAGATTACCCAGCTGGTGGGCAGTCCTCTTGGTCTGTTTTATATCAGAGGCAGATCCAGATTTTGTGGTGGCCTGAAGCTTTATGGTTTGAAGGACCTACTTTAGGAAGTCAGTTACACATTCAAAAGGAGGCAGAGCCTTGGAAGAGACCAGCGCAGAGTGAGTGGCTGAAACTCAAGTTCCATGAGCACCTCACTAAGCCCCAAGGTGCCGTTCTCCCTGTAATTATTAAAAATATTTTCAAACAGTGGAGTTCGAGCTTTCCCTATACACCACCACCTAGATTCCACGTTCACATTTCACTGTGCGTGGTTTTGGACGCATCTGGGCACCTGCCCACCCCCTCACCCGTCCACTCGTCCCCTTATTGTTTTAATGTGTTTTGCAAATCGTTTAACTAGAGTTCAGCATTTCCAAGTTTCCTTTTGCTGTAAAATTCAAATGAGAAAGGCAATTGATGTGCAATAACACACACATGTGCCTTTATCACAGAATCCTTTTTTGCACACGTGGGAAGATAATTTCCCGAGGCAATAAAAATGTGTGCATTTCCTGCGGACTCTGCTTCGTGTCCACGCTGCAGAATTTGCCCAAGTGGCTGTGACCACCTCACCCCGTCCATTAATGTAACGGATGTGCTGATGGCCACCTCTGGACATTAAGAGTTTCCTCTCCTCTTCCAGGAGGTTCCTTCAGACTCGCTCCCCAGGATGGATTTACTGGGTCAGAGGCCAAGGCTTCGGTCCCTTCAAGTCGTGATGTTTCACAGGATATGGGGGGTGTGAGGGGGGGGGCTCTGACGTTAGACTCTCCCTTCACTAATTTCTTTTATAAACTACTGGACCTATTTTTATAAATATCTTGTCCTAGAAAAACCTTTCCAAGTGACCACAAAAAAAAAAAAAAAAAAAAAAGACAGGAAAAGGTAACAGAAATCTCAAAACCCTCAACACTTCTGACAAAAGATACCCTGTACAAAGTCAAAAGGCACAGCCTGGGAGAAGCGTTTGCAACATGTACAACAGACTTCAGATCCACAATAAATACAGAGCAAGAAATAAGACAAATAAACAAGAAAATGACAAATAGCCCAGGGGGGAAATGGTGAAAAGGTCTGAATCCGCACAGAAGGGGAAACTACCAGGGACCCCATGAAGAGCTGCTCGGCCGCGCTGGCAACCAAGCTCAATTCAGCAACGGCGGCTTGGGCGCGCGAGCCCCTGGCAGCTGGGCGGGGGGGAGCCTGCAGAGCCGGCCCAGCTCTCAAACGACCCCCTCGTTATGCCCTCCCTGTCGCCCAGAGGTTCGCGTCCAGGCCCTTGTCCCACAGACACTCGTGAAGTGGTTCGTGTACGGCTGCTCACCCCAGCGTCACTAGCAGCAACCGGCCTGCCTGAGTGACATCATGACCCGCTCCTGTAAGAGGGGGTCTGCGCGGGTATGAAAAAGGAGGTGCCTCACACAGGCACTGAAATTCTTTAAGACAGAGTAAAAAGCAAGTTAGAAACCGCACCTGGTGTGATTCTACACAAGACACAGAGAAATAAAAAAGGATTCTGTTTTTGCCCTGACCAGTGTGGCTCAGCTGGTTGGGAGTCTTCCCACAAAACAAAGTTCACTGGTCCAATTTCTGCTCAGGGCACACGCCTGGGCTGTGGCTTCGTCGTGGTCACGGCACATACAAGGGGCAACCAAGTGGTGTTTCTCTCTCACACTGTTTGTCTCCCTCTTTCTCCCTCCCTCCCCTTCTCTAAACATAAAATCGTTAGAATAGGGACATAATGGCACCCTTTGCCCCAAACTGCAGTGAGAGCCCCCTCTGCAGAGTCCGAATGGAGGGCAGAGGTCAAAGAGGACAGTGTGGTTTTTTGGTGTCTTTATGCACCGTATGGATGACTTACACCTTTATTCGTAGAATTGTTTCGGGAAATAGTAAACAGGTGTGGGGGCGGAGGAACATCACCCCCTCGGATGTGTTCTTTCCTCGCCTTTAAAATGGGTGAGGCCCTCAGGGAGCGTCCCCAGCTCTTGAGAGCACAGCTGTTACCACCACCCAGAGGACAGGGCCGTCCTCTAGACCCGCCCCTCACCACGGGGGCAGGGAGCCCGGGCTGTGCCCCTCAGGCTGGATGCGGGCGAGGACCTGCCCTCCCCGGCCCCCCGCCCCGCCCCGCACACCCCAGCAGCCAGCCGCAGGGCTCCCTAAGGCCCTCCTCACTCGGGAACAGGTGCCCGCCTTACCCGAGGGCTGGGCCTCTGCCACATCCTGGTCCTCACCAGGCTTTGTACTAGTGGAGGACAGACAGAGACGCCCCCCCCAGGGGACAAGTAACACACGAGGCCCAGGGGGGCCAGAAGGTGCTTTATTGAAGGGTGAGGGCTCCGGCGTCTGGCATCAGCTACAACCTGGGGGCAGAGGAGGGAGGCTGAGGGAGGACGAGGGGAGTGGGGGTCCCATGTTCTCCCCCACTTGACACCCTCCTCTGGTCTGGACCCTTCCGTTTCCCTTTGGGGACCCTCCTGCCGCAGCTCGGGTTCAGGCACATCTGGAGGGCTGACCCTCACCACCGGCCGCAGAGACTGGGTCTGGGACCGGCCCAGGGACCCAGTGGACGCCACCGAGAAGGGGTGTCACTCACTGGATCTCCCGGAACGCCCGCTTCTCCACAAGCTTCACCTTGTACTTGCGCTTGAACCTGGAAAAGAAAAGCAGAGCGCGGTCGGTGTCGCGCAGGCCCCCCACGCACAGGCGGCCCCGGCGCCTCCCCCACGGCAGCCCGGTCCTCACTTGGCTCTCTCCCGGGGCTCGATCATGTTTCTCTTCTGGAAGCTCTTGAACCGGTCGCGGAGGATGTTGCCCTCAGGCTGCGGGACACAGAGGAGGTCTCAGCGGGCGCAGGCAAGAAGCCGAGGGCCTCTGACCTCTCGGGGGCGGGGGCAGGGGCGGGGGCAGGAGGGGGCGTCCAGCCCGGGCTCCAGTGGAGGCTCGGCCCCAGCTCACGGGGCGACGGCTACCGGCCCACGGCTGCCTCTGAGCTGGGCGTGGGGGGACCGCAGACAGGCCGGTGGAGCGGGACAGGCCTGCAGGTCGACAGAGCAGCGAGGCAAAGGCAGGGTACGGGGAAGGGGGCCTGCCGGCCCACTCGGGAGGCACAGGGCTGGAGCCCGAGGCAGGCGCGTGGGCGGCCGTGGAGCATCTGAGCCAGGGAGGGACAGGCCCTGCTCCAAGCTTTAGGCCGGGCCCTCTGGAACTGGAGGGGACAACGGCAGGAGACCAGGCGCTGCAATGGGACCCGACTCGGGGGAAGGGCCTTCCGAGGGTCACAGGTCCAAACCAATACATCACCCAGGCCCTCACCCCTGGGAACAGCAACTTCAGGACCCCGTGCCCTCAGCCCCCGGGCGTCAGCCCAGCCGGCCCGGCCCGGGGGCAGCCATGGTGTCGCCCACAGCCCCTGGGGGGCACGGGGAGCAAGGATGGGTGTCATCACCGGGCACGGGCTCCCCCGCAGACCCTCACCGCGGGCGGGCAAGTACGTACCTTCAGGGTGCGGAGCGAGTCGGACAGCTCCGCGCTGAGCTGCACGTCGATGTCGGGGGCCTGATACCTGGAAGGCAGGGCAGGGCGTTCAGGGGGCCTGGGCCGGGCACCGAGTCCACAGCCCCCTCTCGGGAAGAGGGGGCCTCCGAGAACATGGGACGCTGGGGGCAAGACGTGGCCTCCCCGGAGGGGGTCACGCTGATCGCAGGCAGGGAGGTGCCAGGACGGGGACCAGGGCCCCTCCCAGCCTCCCCGGGGTCCCGGCCAGGGCCTCACTTGAGCCGCCCCAGCCTGCGGGGCTTGTCAGCCTCCGCCAACCGCTTTGCTCGCCGTCGTTCCCGCCGCCGTGCCAGCTCCGCCAGCCGCTGTGCCACCTGGGCCTTGATCCCACGCAGCCTGAAGAGGTCCTGGCGTCGCAGCAGGGCGGCCCGCGCCGAGGCCTGCTGCGCCCGCTGCAGGGACAGCTGGAGTCAGGGCCCCGCCCAGCACCATGCGCCCTGCGGGCCCCGCCTCCACCCGGGGCCCCTCCAGCAACGCCTCCCTCAGGGCTGCGTTCCTGGCCCCCCGCCCCCCCCAGGCCCAGCTGCTCTAGTTTCATCACGGCAGCGGTTCCCAAAACCAGTCTTCCCCTGTCAGTGGCCCGTAAGGCCCCGCCCCACCCCAGAGCGAGCAGCAGGACCCAGCCTGTCCCCCGCTGCATCCCCTGCAGGGCCCCGGGAGAGGATCAGAGGCGGCGGCTGCGGACGTGGCAGAAAGAGGGCTGAAGGCAGCAGAAATCAGGCTGCGGGAGCAGGGAGAGCAGACCTGAGCCCACAGTGCTCACCAGTATCCGGGCGGCCTTTTCCCGCCGACGCTGCTGCTCCGTCTTCTTCTCCACAGCGGCGGGGCAGGCAGGTGTGGCCGAGGCCTGGGCACCCCCGCCGGCGTCTTCCCTGGCCTGGTCTCCGCTCGCCTCGGGCCCCTCGTCCGGCCCCCCCTCCCCGTCGGACTCCTCCAGCAGCCCCTGGCACATCTCCTTGAAGGCAGACTCCTGGGCGGGGGTGGGGGTGTCAGAGGCCAGGCAAGCAGAAAGCCAGGAGGGTGTGGGGGGTGGGCAGGTGCGGGCTCACCTGGGTGGCGATCTGCTCAGCGGGGGGCAGGGCCAGCTGCCGCTCCAGCTTCTCTGCCTCCCTCTGCCGCTGCAGCTCCACCTCGTGGGCTTCCCAGAGCAGGGTCTGGGAGGGGGCAGGGCTGGGGTTAGGGCCAAGCCCCAGGAGCCTCTCCTGGGCAATACAGACCTGGCCCTCCACCTCTGCGCCCCTCCTCTCCCTGGTCCCCGGTCACAGCCCAGTCACAGCAGCCAGAGGGGGCTCCCAGCCCTTAACCTCCTGGCTACTCTGCGGGTTCCCTTCCAGGACGGTCTGGTCTCCACACGTCCACAGCCCCACCTACACGGGGCCTGGAGGAATGTCAAGCCCACAGGCAGGAGGAGCGTGGCGGCTGCCTGGGCCTGGGGGAGACGGGGCTCAGGGGTGACGGCCGACGGGCCCAGGGTTTCTTTCTGGGGTGATAAGAATGTTCTAAAATCGGGGCGATGGATACGCAGCTCAGCAAATACACTAAAAATCACTGACTTGTGCCTGTAAGTGAGCAAATCACACGTCCCAGGAACTACATCTCTGCAAAGCAGGTTCGTGATTTTTTAAAAACGGCCGTCTGTCTGAGCTTTCTTCCCCTGCACCCACACCACCTTCGTCAGCCCCACTGGGAACAGACTGCGGTCACGGTGCCCGCTCGTGTGGCCACGCCCACCTCCCCCCATGCGGGGCGCGCTGTCCGCCTCCGCAGACACAGCAGCCGGGTGAGGGCCCCGCCCCACTCCTGCCCGCTGAGCGTGCCTCTGGCTGAACCACGCGGAACGGCCTTCGCGCCTCTCCTGTGTCGGCTCCGTGACCTGATTTCTCTCTGGGAACACGTGCTCCCCTAGGGTGGGGGTTGTGTCCTCACTGTTCCCAACACCTGTGCCCCACAAACATCTGTGAAGTGAGCACAGTGACTCGCGCGGCGAAGTTTTCCCTGGCCTTGGCCAAACCTCACCTGGTCACTCAGGGTCTGTTCCCAGTCCCTGAGGCCTCTGGCACCCACGTTCCAGGAACATCCCACACGGTGCCAGGGACGCACCCCACGGTGTCTGGGCCCCTGCACATGCTGTTCGCTGCCTGCAATTCCCTTTCCCCTCTTCCCACAGCCAGCTCCCCCCGCAGGCTCAGCGGCTGTCCCCTCCTCCAGGAAGCCCTCCCAACCCCCGAGGTCAGGTTGGCGGCCCCTCTGGGGACCCCCATCCCAGCCCTGTCCACTCTGGGCTGCACTGTCTGGGAGCAGGTCTGGGAGCCCCAGCTGGGCAGGCCCAGGCTACCACGGTCACCACCGAGCCCTCAGCGCCCCATGGGCACGGAGAACGTGCCAGGCAAGGCGATGCCGGCCCAGCGGCTAAGCAGCGGCTGGGAGAGGCTGTGTACCTGGTGGTCCTGAAAGGTCGGGTTGTAGGAGGCTCCGGCGGGGGTCACCTCCACAGCAGGCACCCGGGACGGCTTGGTGTAGAGATGTGGCGGCCGCTGGAGGACAAAAGCCAGAGCAGGATGAGGCCGGGGGCCCCAGGACTCGCATTCTCAGGAGCGGCAGGACCTGGGCTCCGGGCGCGGAAGCGGCATCCCCAGGGCCCGCCAGCTCCCTGCAGGCCGGGCTCTGCGCCTTCTCCTGAGACAAGTCCCTGGAACCCCCACCACAGACAGGAGTGGGGGCGCTTGCGTGAACAGATGGTCCAGTGTGTTCTGACTTCAGCCCCGGATCCCTCGGGGACCTTGTAAGACACACACAATCCTGGGCCGCCTGGACGCTCCGCCCCTTCACAGGACCGGCGACGGGCGTGCCCACTCAGGTCTGAGCAGCACCCTCCACAGCTCCGCCACTCGCAGACCTTCCTCACCCCTGCCCGTCTGGCCTGCACCCCAGCGGAGGACCTCGGTCTCCAGCAGAAGCTGGGGGTCGCCCTGGGCGCCCCTGCCCTCGTCCCCACTCCCATCTCACTCCCAGCTCCTCAGAACAGCCGTGCAGACAGGATCCCACTGCCCTCCGGTGCACCACCGCCGGGGCTGCGCCCCCGCCAGCCCCGCCTCCCCGCGCAGGCTCCTCCTCCTCCTCACTGGCCCTGCCATTCCCTTTGCTGGAAGGGTGTCCCTGACCTCCCCCAGCTCTCTCCCTCTGAGGCCCCAACTTGCCACACGTGTGTCACAGGACGGACGGGCTCTGAGACCCTGGCCCCATGGCCCGAATGCCAGGTGGTCCCCCTGCTCCCAGCCCCTCCTCTGACCTCCGTCACCCCCCACAATGCAGCCTCACCTTCACGCCCTTCTTCTTGGTCTGCTCCAGGAAAAACGCGTCCTGGCCCGCCAAGGGCCGCACCAGGGGGTCTGTGGGGCAGGGAGGGCGGCTGCTGGGGGCTGTCCGGGCGCAGAGCGCCTGGCCTCCCGGGGCTCCCCACGACCCCGCCCCCTCGCACGAAGATGGCGCCGAGGCACGGGCTGCGGAGGACTGGTTCTCAGACCCCGAGGGGCTTCGAAAGCCAGGCAAAAAAGCATCTGGCCGGGCTCCAGACGGCAGGAGAGCCACGGCTGAGGAGTGAGGCTGGCCCTCGGGAAAGCCCACTGGGGAAAGGGAAGCGTGAACGGGAACAGGGCCCCTTCGGGACGCCCGGCTCTGCTGGACATCGTGGAGACAACACCCACCGCGCACCCCTTAGACGCACTGCTCTCGTGCAGTGTGTGGCAGCCCTGTCCCCCCAACGGTGACAGCAGGGGCACTCACTGTCTTTGGCCCAGAGATCATAGAAGGGCCGCTCCACGGTGTCCTGAGGCCTGGGCTTGGCTTTGACCACTGGGGGGTTGAGGAGTCGGGCCTGCGCCCTGCGCACATCCCGGGGCAGCTCGCCCTGCTTTGCTAACTTCTCCCATAGCTGCTCCTTGCGCTTGAGCTTCTTGGCGTTGGGGACCTGGTGGGCGAGGATGCTGCGGCGGGGAGAGGCCACATGGGCGAGGCGGGCGAGTCAGAGGCCTGGGAAGGCCCGGCCCCTCCAGCTGGGCCCCCGACCCCTCGGGCAGCTCCTCGTCCAGCAGCCCCCTCCCAAGGCCCCCACCAATGGCAAGCGTCCTCCTAGCTCCTTCACTCCCACTCTGTCCAGCAGCTTTGGAGAGCACGTCCCCAGGTCTGTCTCCAGCCCAGGCCTCTCTGAGCCCGAGACCTCACGAAACAGTAGCCCCTGGAGGCCTCGCCCCGCGTGTCTCCTGGGCACCACACAACACCGACCTCGGCACTGCCCCCAAAGCCGCTCGTGATCCCAGATTCCCCCGCAGGGGCGGCCCCACCCACCGACCGCCACATCACACCCCTCAGGGGTCAGTCACTACACCCTGCCTGACCCACCTACCGCCCGCCCCTTCCTCCCCGTCCCCACGGTCCCCGGGCAGGTCCATGCCGCACCCCCGCCCGCTCCAGCCGCTGCATTTGGCTCCTGCCTCGCTCCCTCCAATCCATTCTCCAAAGCCCAAGCCTGGCCCCGTCGCTGCCCTCCCAGCGACCCTTGCCACCCCCAGCAATGCCTTTAGGGCCGGGAAGTGAGCGGGGCCGCTGCAGAGAAGGCAGGAGGCCCAGTTCTAGTGGGAAAGGAGGGTCCGAAGGTGGTGGGACACTCACTCTTTGGGGGCAGGGACCTTGGATGTGTTCTCTAAAACGAGGTCGACCCGAAGGGGTTTCTTGAGAAGCTGCGATCTTTTCTGGTCTTTGGTCCTCTTTTTGTTCAGCTCTGGGAGGAAGAGAAAGGGGAAGAGTCAGGGCCTCGGGCCTCCTCGTGTCCCGAGGCCAACGCCCCACCAAGCACGTGTCAGTTCCATGGGGCCTGCGCCCCAGCAGGACACGGGGGCCCCAGGCGGACACCAGGCCCCCATCTGAGGAAGGAGGTCCCCAAGAGCAGGCCCCAAGGTGCCCAGGCCCTGCGCTGAAGCACACCTGTTTCTTGGGCCGCTGGATACGGCTCCGTGCTAGGGACACAGAGGGAGTCAGACCCATAGCCCTGCACTCAGGAGGCTTCCAGACACAGCAGGGAAATGGCCACAGAACTGGTAACACCAACAAAGAAGCAAGCATGCGGTCAGGTGACACTGAGGCCCAGAAAGCTGGACTCAGGACCCAATATGACTAATTATCAGCACCGGGTGGTTTTCTGCCTTTTACTTTTAAAACCTAATAGTAACGATGGCTGGTGTGGCTCAGCAGGTTGGGTGTCATCCTGCAAACCAAAAGGCCGCGGGTTTGATTCCCAGTCACAGCCAATGCCTGGGTTGCAGGTTAGGCCCCTGCTTGGGGGCATGTCCAAGAGGCAACCAATTGATGTTTCTCTCTCACATCAATGGTTTCTCTCCCTCTCTTTCTCCCTCCTTCCCCCTCTCTAGAATCAGTAAAAGAAAAACATAATTTTTTTAAATAAAATAAAAAATATAAATAAAACCTAACGCTAAAAAGCAAGAACTCTTCGACAGAACATACTGGGACAAAATTCCGCATCCTTCCATTTACCATGGGACCTTGTGAAGATGACTTTGCCGCCCTGTGCTCCCAAACTGAGAACGTTCACGCCCACCTCACAGGGCCGCGCGTGTACAAAGCACAGTGAGCAAGCACCTGTGAGAGCGCGCAATTGTTACTGTCTTTCTATCTTCTTTTTAACCTAAAGCAGAACCTATAACTGCCCCCCTGCCCCACCCCTGTTCCCCAAGGAGACTTCCTACTGGCCAAGGCAGCCTTTGCTGCTTCCTCCCCGTTCACTCGGGGGGGCCTGGCTCACCCCTTCTGCCTGCAGCCAGGTCTGCGCACTTGCGTGCAAGTCGCCCTCCTCAACAGCCCGCTCTCACCTGCTCGCTGAAAGGCTCCTGGGCCTGAGAGCAGGCCCTTTCACACTTTTTCTGCTCACTGACATGGGTCCTATTGCTTCAGTTAGGACGGGTCCCTTGTCTGAGCTCAAACATGACCATGACAGAGGTCCTGCTGTTAAAGTGGCTTGCCATTCGCTCATTAAAGCCCTCAGCTTTCCCACTGAAGCAGACCCTGTAGCGTGCCCCCCACCCCCCACCCGTGGAAGCAATTCTTAGTCTGTTTCCGGGCACTGACATAGACCCTAACAATCCCTCGCCCACTCCTCCACCCTTCCCAGCACCTCCCGACCCTGCATCCTGGCAAACGACAACCAGCAGATGAAGGCCAGCTTCTCCCCCACTCATTAAAGTGAATTCTCTATTCCTTATGAAAGCACATTTTTAACTCAAATTGATCTGACTCATTACAGCAGGTTCTTGACTTGCTTTTTGGTAAATGCATGAGCCCCACTGTTTTATGTCGAATCCATTCATCAAGGCAGACCTGCCAGCTTTTCTGAGCACGGACATCTCTGATACCTTGAAAAGAAAAATCTGACTCCAAGTTAGCGTCTAGCCTGCTTCCTGTTCATCCCAGGTTCTCTTGTTTACAGTAAAGCCCCTTTTGGGAAGGTGTTTGCCCGCCAAGCCATGTTATCAACTCAGATACCCGCAGAGGCTGACATCGGCAAGACGATGACCCATCACTGCCTTGCAACACACAAAGCCCCTCCTCACCTCTCTTCTTGGCGCCGGTGTCCACGAAGAAGAGTTTTTCATCCGGAGCCTCTGATACCAAGCCACTGGGAGATAGAAATACAAAACGTCAACCACGTATGTTGGGGAGCGAGTAAGACACGGCGAAAGGAGTAGGTTTAACCTCGCAGGCAGGGCCCAGCTCTCCGCTTATGTTCCTTCAAACATCCCCCCTGTCGGCATAGGGCCTCTTCCGGCCAAGGTTTCTCCCGTCAGGTTACAGAACTTAAAATTCACTATGCTGGGGGGCTGCACGCGGCATACAAACACTAGAAAATTACAGCAGTTGTTCACCTGATTTCTAATTTAACTGCGAGTTCTACATCTGATTAACACTACCAAGACTCCCAGCCACCGACCCAGGATCCCCAGCCCTTGCTCTCAGTTTCCCCAGGGACACCCGGGACAGGTGCTCCCAGCGCCCCGGAAGCCCCCGCACGCTCGCCTTCACACCGGACCATACAGAACACCGCCCAAGCGCCGAAGTCCCGCCCCACGCACCCACTCGTGCGTTCCTGCAGTCGCACGTCCTCTAGGAACTGATCAACTTCCAGTCCCAGCGGCTCCTGGGCGAGCCGCCGCCAGCCCCGCTTCCTGTTTCTTGGGCCTCGCCGCCTCCGCCTCAACGCCGGGTCCACCGAAGTGGGCCTGAAACCCAGGAAGCCGGAATCGGCTTCACTTTTTGAGCGGAGTTCGCTGCTACCACCACTGTTTCCTGCCGCCATCTTGTTAAAGAAAGAATCCAGGCGCCGGGAGCGGAAATCCGGTTTGGGGCATGCGCGCGCAGATGTCCCGGTCACTCCTGAGACCCACATCGGTGGCCGCCATCTTGGTAAAGTGGCTAGAGCGGCAGAGGAGCGAGGAGGCAGCCATCTTGACAAAGGGGGAAGGGACACCGGCTGGTGTGGCTCATTGGATTGAGCGCTGGCCTGCAAACCAAAGGATCGCTGGTTCTACTCCCGGGCAAGGTACATGCCTGGGTTGCGGACCAGGTCCCCAGTAGGGGGTGTGCGAGAGGCAACCAAGCATTGATGTTTCTTTCCCTCTCTTTCTCTCTCCCCCTCTCTAAAAATAAACACAATCTTTAAGAAAAAAAAAAAAAAAAAGGATGAATGGCTTCTCTCTCCTCTGCTGATTCCTGGCCACCGCAGGTTTTAGGTTCTTGGCTTTCACCCTAGCCAAACATCTTTCCCAGCCTCCCAGGAATATTTCTAAATATGAGTATTATTTTTTAATCTAGTTTTCTTAGAAGAGAAAAATTGGAACCATCAATGGCAGATTCGGAGCAAGACCCTTCCCAGTCTCAGAACGTTTGGCCGGTCAGCATACCAATTCTAGAATCCTGGAAATCAAAAAGCATTTGGAATGTCGTGGTTGGAAGCAGAGAAGTTTATTGGTAGGAATATTATAAACATACACTATAAGAACCCTAGAAGCATCCACTCAGAGTCATTAATCTTGGGCAAACTAAGCTCTGCCTCAGTTTCCTCCTCTGTAAAATGGGGATGATAATAGTACCCCTGCCTCAGATTATTCCGAAGATTAAACGAGATAATATATTTATACAAAGCGCTTAAGATAGTGCCTGGCATCTAAATGTTAGCTCTTGTTACCGTCTCGCCCCTGAACTTCATCCTAGAATCAACTAAATCCTAACTGTTTACAAATAAGGAAGGAAGCCCAGAGGCCCTTGGGCCCGGGCAACCATCCAAGGGATCCCGGGCCTCATAAAGGATTCTCCAGACTCAAAAAGGAAAAAGGCATAGAGACGGAGGGAGCTAAGCGGGGCGTCACGCAGCCCAACTCCGTGGAGTCCTGGAGCATCGCCGGGAAAGAGACAAGCCCGGTGTGTGGCCCTGGAAACCTGAGCGCCCCCACCTCGGGCGGCGGATTCGGTCACCAGCCCGCCCAGCACCTGAGTGCCCGCCAGAGGGCGCTGGGAGCCGCGAAAGCGGGCGCGCGTGGGCGGGCAAAGCGCCGGGCCACAGTGTCCCGGGGCGCCGTGGGTGTGGTCCTGGGTGTGTGTCCGCTGCATAGCTAAGTCCTCTGGGCGGGAGCGCGCGCGTACACGTGGTGGCCCTGTGGGGGCACAGCACCCCCTCCTGCGCGCCTGGAGCCCGTTGGTCCAGGAGTGATGCGTCAGGAGTTGTGTATCCCGGTTGATGGGTGTCCGTTGGCGGGCAGGGCGGGGGGCAGGTTGTGCCCAAGCTCGTGCGCACACAACTCCACGCCCCAGGGCTCCGTTCCCAGGCCCCACGGCAGGAGGTGGGAGGGAGGGATGTCCCGGAGGGAGGGCCCCAGTGTAACTTTTCTTCGGAAAATATGTCGTTCTGGCCCCCAGCCCAGGCTGAGTCACTAGGCTCCGCAGCATTGAGTCATGGCCTCCACCCCAGACCCTGAAAGCTTGGAGGGGAGACACATGCAAATCTTACCACGGGCTCTCCTTCCCGGGGGGTTGGGAGCAGAGCGATCCCCCCACAGCCCGTCCAAAGACAGCCTGACTCCCACGTGGAAAGAAGCCTTGGCTTTATTCGCTCTGTGGGCCCGCTATTCCGTTCACAGGCCCCTCCCAGATATTGGGGCGGGGGGGAGGGGGATGGTGAGCGTGGGAATCCTATCCAGTGCTCTATTTTCCTCTTCCTCGTCTTTTCCATGGGGTTCCCACCAGGGTCAAGCACTAATATGGGGTGATGGCAGGAAAGGGGGTACAAGGTCCCTATAGGAGAGGGGGGGCTGTAGCACCAAGAGCCTGTACCCCCATAACCTCCCTGAAAAGGGGACTAAAATAAAGCCCTGGGGTCTTTTATATTTGGTAGGGGCGCCACATCAATATGGACTGATGGATGGCAAGGCTGGGACCCCACAGTCTTAAATCATGACCACCCGCTGGAAGGGGGATAGGGGTCAGGCTGGGCTTTCAGCCCAAGGTGGGGGGGGGGGGGCACGGGGCAGGGGAGGAACACAAATACCTCCAAGTGAGCACAGTCTGGTAAGAGCAAAAACTGGGGAGGCTTTTTTGTCCCGGAAAGATCCTTATTAAAAAGGCCGTGACCGGAGCCGGGGGGAGGGGCTAAGAGGGGTCCATCTGAGGAAGTAGGAGATTGTGTCTTCCCTCTGAACCCCCGGTGGTCCCAAGGCCTGAGGATAGGATGGGGGGGCCCTTCCCGGGGGGGCAAGAGGAAGTAGAGCAGGGGGCCTATTAGTCATTTCAACCAAGTAGCTGCTCATTTATGGGGAGAGGCGAGGGGTCCTACCCAGAATCCAGGATGGGACTGGTCAGGGCCTCTGTGTGTGTGTGTGTGTGTGTGTGTGTGTGTGTGTGTGTGCGCGCGCGCGCGCGCGCGCGCACACATTTGAATGACACGTAGGTGCTCTCTCCTGAGAACGTCAGCTCCATGAGGGCAGATATTATGTCTGTTTTGTTCTCTGGACTCCCCAGTGCCTAGAACGAGCCCCAAACGCCGAATGGACTAGGTGCTCAATAAATACTTGAATGGAGGATGAACGGACGGATGCCTCCGCGCGCGTGTGTTAATGTCAGTGTGATGTGCCTAAGTGTACGTGTGGGCAGAGGTGTGAAGGGTGAGCAGAGAAGCCTTGCCCCTCCCCTGGTCCCCTCTGTCTGGCGGTAGGACATAGAGAGACCCCCGTCCTTACAGCTGGGCAGGCGGGCAGGCGGGGTGCACGTGGGCCGGGGGTGTGCGTGCAGCTGACCGAAGCTGGGGAGCCGCGGCGGGGCGCGTGGGCGGGAGGCCCTGCGGGCGGCGGCGGCTCACTCGGCGGAGCCCTTGTGGCGCCGCTTGGAGGGCGGCACGAGGCGACGCGGCAGGTTGGTGGGCAGCCCGTGGCCCTCGAGCTTGGCCTCGATGAGGTGGCTGGCCAGGGCGAACTCCTCGTCGTCCAGCATGCCGTCCCGGTCGACGTCACTCAGCTTCCAGATGCGCCCCAGCACCGAGTTGGGGAGGTTGGTGCCCACCATCCAGGTCTTGGCCTTGGTGCCGCTCAGCTTGCCGTTCGCTGGCGCCAGGTTGTAGAAGATCTCGTCGTATTTGGACTTGTCCTTGGTCACCACCCACTCGGTCTCCTCATCCGAGCCCTCCTCGCCGTCCTCCAGGGCCTCGTCGGGCCCCCGCTCCACGAAGGGGCCCATGTGGGTGCCCTCGAAGGCGCCGCCCTGCACGCCCACCTCGGTGCTCTCCAGCTCCTCCTGCCGCAGCAGGGGCATCAGCTTGGCGATGTCGTGCGTCAGCATCTCGTCCAGCGCCTCCAGCAGCTTCGGCTTCAGCGAGTGGAACTTGGTGAAGTCATGAGCCATCAGCAGCTCCTGTGGGGCAGGGCAGGGGGGCACCGAAAGGTCAGGCGACACCTCCCCCCCAAGGCCCCGGGCCGCGTGGTGGCACCAGGACACCTGAGCAGCTCCCGGAGCAGATCTTTACCGAGAGGAAAGACGCATGGGAAAATCTGCTTGTCACCCCACCATTCAGAAGGGGCTTGGGCAACAAGGTCCCGCGGGCCCTCTCCCCGCCTGCCCCCCTCCCTGTGCCCGGCACACCCCGGAATCACTGGACGGCGGAGAGCTTGGGGGACCTCCGATGACTCAGAGCAGCAGCCGTTTGCCAGCTGGTCGAGGAGGATTTCAACATTTCGACCGACATCAGCTCCAGCTTTACCAGAGCCCAGGCCAGTGGGCCCTCCACCCAGCCAGCACCCCTACCATGATGCAAGTCAGGAAAACTCAGTGTCTGCCACTCTGTTAGCTCTGCTGCTCCCCAACTCGGAAAGCGCTAGGGGGCTTGCTGCCGGGTGCGGAGGCTAGCTTTGGGGTGGACGGGCCATTTAGGGATCCTGAGGGTAGGATGGGATGGGGGAGGGTGCCCCACAACAAGTCTTCTTTCGCTAGAGCGGCTGTGTGGCTGGGTTAGTGGGCCGCACAGCTTCTCGCCCTGGCAACTCTAAGTGACCCACACCGGCAGAGTGACAACAAGGACTGACCCATGTTATGGCACCACATTAATTTCCAAAGCCCGGTCAGGGAGACCCACTGAACGTGACCATAGAGAGATGAGGATGTGAGCCCTGGCTGGTGTGGTTGAGCGCCGTACTGCAAGCTGAAAGGTCGCCGGTTCGATTCCCAGTCAGCACACATGCCTGGGTTGCAGGCCAGGTCCCCAGCTGGGGGCGTACAAGAGGCAACTGATAGATGTTTCTCTCACACATTGATGTTTCTCTCCCTCTCTTGCTCCCTCCCTTCCCCTTCTCTAAAAATAAATTAAATCTTAAAAAAAAAAAAAAAAAGATGGGCGTGTGAATGGTGCAGCAGGGTCGTCGGGGGAGGGGCAGGGCTCCAAGGCCAGGCTGCTGGGGTTCCTGCTCAGCTCTGCCACTTACACGCTGCGTGTCTTCAGGCAAATGACTTCACCTCTCTGGGCCTCAGTTTCCACATTTGTAAAACAGGTTGAGAGCTAGCACTTCCCTCATTTGGGGGGTGAGAAGTGCTAAATGAATTTGCCTGGATAAAAATGTCAGCGTAACAGTAACAGCTGCTATTTAGGCCAGCGGCTCTCGACCAGGGGCGACGGTGTCCCCACCAGGGACAGTTGGCAAGCTCTGGAGACACTTCTTACTGTGTCTAGACAGGCCAGGAACACCACTAACCGTCCTGCAATGGCAACTTCTCTGGCCCCAAGTGTCATTCGTGCTAAGGGTGAAAAATCTCCATCAAGCCCAAGCTCCGTGCCGGACGCCGTGCCCAGGGCTCGGCGGGCGTCAGCTGGCTTGGTACTCGTGGCAGTAGGTGGATGCTGGCAAGATGCCCATTTTCCAGTTGAAGAAACTGAGGCTCAGAAAACGAAGTGACTTACCCAAGTTCATGGAGCTTAGTATGTGGCCAAGGCACAAATTCACTCTCCCAGGATCCCCCCTGTCCTGCATTGGGAGACATCGCAGGCCCAGCGGCCACAGGCTTTGAGGGTCAGCCCTCAGAGCAGGCTCTGCCTGGGCCAGGGGCTCGTCCCCGCCACGTGCCTGGGCCTGGACTTGTTTCCGAGAGCACTGGGTCGCTCCCGCCCGGCCCGCCTCCGGTGGCTCTTCCTTTACCCCGTACCACCACGCCCAGCCCCTGCGCATTCGCGGGTTAATCGCCAGTTAATCCTCGGCCTGCTCAGGCGGGGAGCCTCCCGTTCATCCCCCAAAATCCTTTGCCCCTCCCTCCTCAGGACTGGAATCCCAGAACATTGCCTGGGTTTCTGGCCTCCTAAAGGAAAGACTACACTTCCCAGCTTCCCTTGCAGTTGGCCACCCGGCTAAGTTCTGGCCAACTGAATGGCAGCACAAGCTACAAGTGCAACTTTAGTAGAATTGCCCTGTTCAGTACAGTAGCCACATGTGGTTATTGACATTTACATGAGTTAAAATTAAGTAAAACCTAAAATTTCAGTTCTGATGTGGCTAGTGGTTACCATATCGGCCAGCACAGCATAAAATACTTTCATCATTGTATAAGGTACTATTGGACAGCACTGTTGTATAAAATAACAGACTGTCCCATTAGCTTCCCTTCTCCATCTCCTCTGTGCTAGCTGGAATGCAGACACAAGGGCTAGAGTTTCCACAGCCTTTTTGTACCATGAGGGATTCTTGGGCCAGGAAGCCAGGCATGGAGGGAAACTCAGGAAAATTGAGTCCCTGGCTCTGTGAAGCACCAAACCAGCCCCAAATCATCTCCCAGGACATTTATGAAAGAGAGAAATACACTTCTATCTTAATTAAGCCATAGGTTTGTGGGGGGAGGGGGCGGTTCCTTCACATCCTAACTCATAAAACCATACTCCCACGGAACCATTTGCGGAAGGTGCTTTCCAGAACCCGCCACCCATCACTCCCCTTTCCGGTCCGCATCCCGCATCCCGGAGCCCACAGAAGCCCACCTTCCCGGCTGGCAACCCTCTGCCCCCTCCCGGGCGGCCTCCCACCTGCATCTTCTGGCAGTCAGGAAAGTCGCCGGGGGAGATATGATGCTCCAGCTGAATCTTGGCGAAGATGACGGGCAGCTTGAGGATCAGCTGCTTTTTCTTGTTCTCCTTCCCAAACACGGAGGGCATCTCCTTCTTCAGGTAGCTGATGATGTACGTGTGAACCTGCGGGGAGAGAGCGCTTGCCTGAGCCTGCCTCACAGTCCCCCGGCGGGCGGGCTCATCAAAACATAGGTTCCTGCTTGGACTGGTGTCGCTCAGTGGGTAGAGGTCACTGGTTCAGTTCCCATTCAGGGCACATGTCTGGGTTGCAGGTTTGGTCCAGTACAGGGGTGTGCGAGAGGCAACCCATCGATGTTTCCATCTCTTTCTCCCTCCCTCCCACTTTCTCTAAAATTAAATAAATGCAATCTTAAAACACACACACACACAACACACACACACACACACACACACACACACACACACACACACACACAGCTTCCTAGGCCTCCCGCCCAGGGTTGCCTATCCACCTGGTGCCAGGCAGGGCCTGAGGATTTGCATTTTGAACAGTTACAGGCAAGCAGGCTGTGCTGTCACAGGTAGAAGGGTTCCTCCTCTCCTGCAGGCGACCTCGGCCCTTTCGAGGCTGAAGCGCCCACAGCTCTGCCCCCACCCAGAGGTACGTCCCAGCCCAGCTCCCTCCCCGAGGTTGCCTTGGCCACTGCCCCGCACAGCTCTGGCTCCGAGCACCCTCTAGGGAATCTGGGCCCAGCCTCCAGAGCTGTGTCCCCGTCAGATGTGCCCACTTGGGGGGAACCAATGGCACCCCCACCTCTCCCTCCGCAGTGGAGGCCAGAAATCTGGAAATCAGTCCTGACTTCAATCTCCTTGTCCCTCACTAACCACCGCCAACCTCGCAGTGAGTCCCTCTCCTGTTGCCTCCTAAATCTCTCGTGTCTCTCGGCCTCAGTGGCCACCACCAGGGCCACCAGCTCTTGCCTGGGGAGACATACCAGTCACCCCCCGGTCTCCTGGCTTCTCCTCTTGTCCCTACAAACCCTCTCTCTCCAAGTGCCACCAAAGGTTTTCATGCTACTCCAAAGCCTCGATTTGCTTTTCATCCAAGTTGAAAATTCCTACCACAGCCAGCGGACAAGGCCATACAGCAGCAATTCTCGGAGTGTGCTTTAGGGGTTCCAAGAACCTTTAGGGGTTCACTCAAACAAAAGAATTTGAATAATAGAAGGCATGCCCTGGCTGGTGTGGCTCAGTGGATTGAGTGCCGCCTGCGAACCAAAGGGTCGCTGGATCCACTCCCAGTCAGGGCACAGGCCTGGGCTGCCGGCCAGGTCCCCGGGTGGCAACCACACATCGCTGTTTCTCTCCCTCTCTTTCTCCCTCCTTCCTCTCTCTCTAAAAATTAATAAAATCTTTTTTAAAAAATGTGCACTTAGGCTCTGTGCACTTTAAAAAAAAATAATAATAGAAGGCGCTATTTAGCTTTTTTACTTTTCATTTCTTCTGGAGCAGGTAGGTAATGAGGTTTCTTTTCATTTTTTAAGACTACAAGATATGGGGAAGGCACACATCAAAGAGACTTGCAAAAAATGTAAAACAAGCTCAGGGTCCTTCCTAAACTATTTTGTTTCAAAAATAGTTACTTTTTATAAAACATATGTTACTTAGATTAACTAACATTTGTTGTTAATGTTAAGTGATCTTATAATATTCATTATTATTGACATTTATTAAGGTACACTAACATCACCAATAAACTACTGATAACAATGATAATAAATGACTGCCTAATAATTATGTAATTATTAGTTATTGGCTTGTTAATATTGAAATAAACCGTAAACGTTTTCTGGGCTTTCAATTCTAACACGGCCAACACAGATTCGGTACAGACAAGTCCTGCGGGGCCCTCGGTAACTCTTACAAGTGTGAGGAGGCCCTGAGACTGACTGGCAGGCCTGCGAAGCACTGCTCTGCGATGTGGCTCCTGCCGCGGCGACCAGCAGCGCCCCCGTCGCTGCTCTAGCTCCCTCGCCTTCCTGGGTTCACCAGATGCCAACCCTTTCCCACCCCAGGGCCTTTGCATATGCCACTCTCTGCCCCGTCTCCCGACAGCTGGCGCCCTCAGCTCCGTGTTGAGGCCGCCTCCTCACACAGGCCATCTGATGGCAAGCAGGTGCCCCCACCGCCCCATCCAACTGTGTCCCAGCTTCACCTTTGTCGTTCTCTCCACAACATTTATCGCAATTCATCATTATTTATCTGCTGGTTTATTTATTCTGTCTCTTTGCGTCAAAAGGAGAGCTCCAGGGGGGCTGAGACCTTCATCGTTCCCTCTGTCCTCAGCTCCAGCACAATGGGCACGGAAAACACTCAAGAAATATTTCTAGAATAAACTAATGAACTAGGGAGCCTCTGGGCCACAGTCTCATATGTTATCAAAAAACAAACAAATACAGCAGAGTAATGAGTATGCTATGTCCCATTTTAAGTAGAAAGCTAAATATTTCAATGTATATGGTCAAATAAGAATGTTATCTCTAGGAAAAGGCACCGGGGGCCGCTCATGGGGCTGCCTCTAAGGAGGGGGCCCTGAGGGCTGGGGTCGGGGTGGGCAGGAACTGACCGGCATGAATGAGCTTAAATGTTCCATTAAAAACACTTATTAAATGAATCAGAAGGTTAGCGTGCTGAAAATGTGGGTGACTCTGGCCGGTCCTGAATCCTCGTCCCCGCCCACCTCCACCTCCCTGCTTCCTCCAGCCACCCTGGCTGCTCGTTGGAACCTGCCCTTTCCTCAGGGCCTTCGCACTTGCTGTTCCCTCTGCCTGGCGAGGCCTCCCCCAGATCTCCGCTCAGCGCGCCCTCCCCCCGCTGTGGGCCGCTGCTCAGATATCGCCTTCTTGGGGAGACCCTCCCTGATGTCCCTAAAACAGCCAGCCCCTCACCAGTTGCTCTTTCCTCTGCTTCATTTTTCTTCCTAATCCTTGTCACGTACAATATAATATTATAGATTACTTAATATCCACTTCCCCATTGCAAAGTAATTGGCTCCCTGCTGTGCCCCCGGGGCCTGGAGCAGTGAAGGGGCATGTTGCAGGCCCTCCCTGACTGTGTGCTAAATGAATGTCCCTGGGCTGCTCAGAGCAGCTCGGCAGGAAGGTTCAGGGCGTCTGGCCTCTGGAGACGCAGACCCTCCAAGCCCTTGGCCTCAGCTACCCCAGCCCAGCGAGGGAGGGGGGACCCTCCCAAGCCCTTGGCCTCAGCTACCCCAGCCCAGCGAGGGAGGGGGGACCCTCCCAAGCCCTTGGCCTCAGCTACCCCGGCCCAGCGAGGGAGGGGGGCCTTTCTGAGCCCTTGGCCTCAGCTACCCCAGCCCAGCGAGGGAGGGGGGACCCTCCCAAGCCCTTGGCCTCAGCTACCCCGGCCCAGCGAAATAGCCCTTCTGGTAGCTCTGGCTCCGGCCGAAGAGCAGAGCCAGAGGGCCCATGGACACCCGACCTCGTAGAGAACGGTGGCTACCGAAAGTCCAGGAAGGCCTTGTACCCTTGGGGGAGAGCGTATTTGATGGTGGGACCGACTGGGGCAGAATCACACGCGGGGGTGAGCAGGTGACATGGAGCAGGGGCGGGGCAGCGAGGCTTGGTCACAGTGGACCCTGCGCCTCGAGTGGCACTAGGGAGCCACGGAGGGATCTGCGGGTAGAAGGGGTAGGACAGGTCTGTAGGTGTGAGGGGCCAATCAGGACAGGGGTGTGGCAGGGCTGGTGGGAGTGGCCTGTGAGAGCGGGCCAATGGGGTGAGGGGGCGTGGCCAAAGGGCCGCTGCTCGGGGACCCAAAGACGGGAGGCGGGAGACTGCTGATGGCTTTTCCAGAGAGGAAGCGGGGGAAGGTGCCAGGAAGAGATAAGGTGGGAGGGCGGGGTGGGCCCGGGCGCGGGTCCCGGACTCCGGGGTTTGTCCGGGTTTCCGGAGCCGCCTCCTGTCCGGCGGGGGCACCAGGTGTCCGGCCCGACCCTGCCCCTCGGTCCCGGACCCTGGGCTCCAGCTCCTGCCGCTGTCGGCCTCCGGGAACGGGGCCTGGGGTCTTTGGGGCGGGGGTGGGGGGAGAGAATCATGGAGAGGAAGGCAGAGAGGGGGATAGATAGGTGGATACATAGATGATTGACAGAGAGACAGGATGAGGGAGAGAGGAGAGAGAATAAGACAGAGAGGGAGGAAAGGACAGAGGGAAAGGGACAGAGAATGAATGAGAGATGCAGGCAGACACGGAGAAAGGAGAGAGAGGGAGAAAGAATGAGGGAAGGAGGGAGGAAAGGAAAAAAGATAAAGAAGAGAGAGAGAGAAACTGAGAATGAGGTATAAACAAGGATATGTATATCTATCTATATAGAGATAAAGATAGAGATAGAGATAGAGATAGAGATATACATGGAGAGACAGAGAGACAGGCGGAGAGAGGCCGGAGCCTGGGCAGAGGACAGAAAGGTGGTTTCTGAAGGCTCCAGTCCACACAGGCCGCTCCCTCCCAGGGAGGATTCCTGGGGCAGGGGCGGAGCTCTGACTCACCCCCTCTCCCTGCTCCTTAAACCAACACCTCTGGCTCCTCCACCCCCACCACCCCCCATCACCTTCTGGGCCTCCCTGCTTGCCCAGCTTCCTGCCCCACCTCCATCCTGGCAGTCTCCCCCATGAATGTTCCATTTGGCCTCCAAAGTCGCTCTGAAACCAGCGCTCTCCTCCCTTTCCCGACCCAGGCTCCTCTTTATTCCTCTCCTCCCCCGGGGTCTGCGCCCCAGTCTCACCACCCTTGAGTCCACCCCCCAGAAAGGACGCTGCCCCTCCCCTGCTCCGAACCCTCCCATGGCTCCCCGGTGCCCTTGAGACAAAGCGATGCTCTTGAGACAAAGCGCGGAGACGTTCCCGGCCACAGCCCTGGGAACTGCAACTCCCACCCCCCACCCCACCCCCCAGCTTCAGATTCAGTTACTGGTCCTGCCTGCACGAGAGTCAACTGACATCGTCCCTCTTCCCGGAACTTGCCATCTTCTCATCTGCAGCCCATGTGCTTGCTCCTCCCACTGTCTAGAGTCCCTTCCCTTCTTCATCCGCCTCATCCTCCCGTTTGCAGCTCAGGGGCCCTTTCCTCCAAGCAGCCCTCTCTGATTCCCCCCGGGGCTCCCAGCCCCAGCGCTGACCACGCTGGGTCTTCACCGTCGGGGATGGGACTGCCCTACACCACCCAGCACAGGGCCAGGCACAGAAGGGATTTCGTTCAATGCGCGTGCTCGTTCAGTGTCCGTTGTTCAGAACTGAGCGCCAGCTCTGTTCCAGGAGCCGGGGATACAGCAGGGGACAAATTCAAAGAAAGAAAGACCCCTGCTTCTGTGGAACTTAAATGCAGGAGGAAGAGAGATGACAATAAACACTGAAACCCAAGGAACGGATAGCATAGGACCAGGCAGTAATGACCACAATGAAGAAAACTGCAACCAGCAGCCCCGGCTGGTGTGGCTCAGTGCACTGAGCGCCGGCCTGCGAACCAAAAAGTCACCGGTTTGATTCCCGGTCAGGGCACATGCCTGGGTTGCAGGCCAGGTCCCTGGTTGGAGACACCCAAAAGAGGCAACCAATTGATGTATCTCTCGTACATGTTTCTCTCCCTATCTTTCTCTCTCCCTTCCCAATAAATAAATAAATAAATAAAATTTAAAAACAAAAACAAAAAAAGCAGGACTTGCAGGTGGAAGCAGGTGGGGGGAGTTATTTTCATAAAAAGGGAGGGCAGGTAGGGAAGCCTTCCTGAGAGGTGACACTTGAGTAAAGACAGCGAGGTGACAAATGAGCCAGGTGAGAGAGGGGTGGGTAGGGGGAAGTCTCTGGGAAGAGGAAACAGCAAGTGCAAAGGCCCTGAGGTAGCACTGACAAGGCCAGTGTGCAGTGCAATGACTGATAGAAGAGAGTGGAAGACGGGGGCGGGGCGCGGATGGAGGGCGGAAGGGGTGGGCTGTGGACCACAGGCAGGGCTTGGTTTTTGCTGAGTGACACAGGAGTCCTGGGCGGGACATGGGACAATTGGGTTGTAGGTGATAAACGAAGGAATAATAGAACAGAGAAGCAACAGGGAGACAGGGAAAGAGACAGTGACCTGAACGCAATGGTAGAGGCACAACTGTCCGTGGAGCTCGGCTTCCCCCGGTCTACTGTGCACCAGCATGGTCCAGCCTGGCAGATTCTCTTAGATTAGACAACTGACCGGCAGCGAGTTGGTTGGTTAAGTCCGTGACTGGCAGCCAAGCAGGGGGCGGTCAGAGGAAAGCCTAGAGATGCCCCTGTCTCCCATCCCGTCACTACTGCCCCCTGGCGGTCCCCCCCAGGGCTGCTCACCCGCACCAGCCGGGCCCTCTTCACCAGGTCATTGAGCTTGCGCAGCGCCGCGTGCCGCGGCAGGCCCTGGATGTCGCGGAAGAGGTCCTGCTCCTCCAGCTCGAAGAGGCGCCGGTTGTCGGGCACGAGGAGGGGCTGGGACCAGAAGGAGCCTATGTAGACGCGCAGCACCTCGGGCGTGCCCACCACCTTGCCCAGCGCCCACATGAGCGCCCCGTAGACGCGCATCAGCTGCTGCGTCTCCACCATGTCGGCCTTGTTGAGCACCACGCGGATCTTGTCCTCATGACCGCGCAGGGCGCCGATGGCCTCGGAGAACTCGTCGGAGATCTCCAGCTTGTGCGCATCGAAGAGCAGGATGATGAGGTCCACGCGCTCGGCGAACCAGCGCAGCACCGCTGGGAAGTCATAGCCTGGTGGGGGGCAGAGGGTGGGGACGGCCGATGAGCCCCCACCCTCCAGCCACCCGCAGGCATCCGTCCCTTTGGGTTGATATTGGGCTGTACAGATGTCCCGGTTGTTAACGATCAAAATCCTTGTCTTTGTGAAATAGCCCAGGTCCCCAGAGTATCCCACTGCTCTGGCTCCGCAGGTCCCAGAATTCCTTCACTGTGGCCCCGGTCCCTCAGGCCAGCCAGCTACAGGGGAGAATCACCCCCATTCATTCATTCACGCCCGCGCGCACACATGCGTTCAGCAGAGAGTGGCGTGCCTTGGCCCACTCTCTGTTCAAGTTGTTAATACCTGAAGTGCTTCCTAACAACTGTGCCTCTGCAGAGCGCCCCCCCTCCCCCGGGCCCCGCCAGTCCCCTCCAGAACCTCCATTACCCCGGCCCCACCCCAGACCTGTCGGATCTCCCCACAATCCAGCAACTACAGTTCACGTTGGCCGTGGCTACGCTCTTGCCCTAGCAGATGTTAAATATTTTAAATTATTTAGCACTGTTTACGGAGAGTCTTGGTGTGTGCCAGGTCCTGGTACCACAGGGAACACACAGACAAGGCCCTTGCCTTGTAGAACGCCCGTCCCAACAACAGGTTCATTCACTCCTTCCTTGCACCACTCATATCCTCGCTCACTCAGGCATTCGCATGGGTCGCTCCCAAGCAGTGTTTGGGAAAGAGAGACCTGGGTTCAAATCCTGGCTTTGCCCCCATCGGCTGTATGGCCTTAAGCAAGTAGGAAACATGTCTGAGCCTCTGTTTTCTCTTCTGTAAAATGGAAATCATAAAAAAACAGACCTTGTAGGACTGTTGTGAAGATTAAAAGAATATAAAGAGCCCTGACGAGCCTGGCTCAGTTGGTGGTTGTCCTGCAAAGCTAACGGCTGCCAGTTGGAATCCCATTCAGGGCACAGGCCGACCTGCCACCCGGCTGTGGGTGAGCAAGAGTCAAGCGATTTCACATGGATGTTTTTCTCCCTCCCTTCCCTTCTCTAAAAAGAAATAAAGTCTTTTTAAAAAATAAAAGAATATGAATGAGCTAATAGATATAAGAAGCTTAAAACAGTACCTGGCACTGAACTATATACTTAAAATGGGAGCAATTTAGGCTTGTAAATTACACCCCAATAAAACTGTTAAAAAAAAACAGCACTGAGTGCATGGTAAGTGCTCAACAGGTATTAGTCATGGTGCATGTTATCCACTGTGGGGGGATCATGCAGGAACTGTCCCCAGGGATGCCTGCTCTGTGCTGGGGACACGGCTTGCTCAGGCAGCCCCATCCTGTCCTTACCGGGCTCACAATCCACTGGGAACACAGGCTGGGATGGGGGAGCCCAGGGAGTTGCAGGAGCCCAGAGGGGGCGCCTGACCCAGGCTGGAGGGTTAGGGAGGGCTTCTTGGAGGAGGAGGAAGAGACCTTGGGGGGGTGCTGAGGAGTTAACTGGCAGAACAAGGAGCCAGAGCTGATTTGCCTGACATCACTTCCTGATGCCTCACAAAACAACACCAGGAAGACAGGCACTTTTATGATGCCCATTTTCCAGATGAGGAAATTGAGGCACAGAGAGAAGTGAGGGATTTCCTCAAGACACACAGGTAGGAGGCCACAGAGCAGGAGCCCCCCTGAGCCTCCTTGCTCAGCCGGGGAGCTGGTTGGTGCGGGGTCTGTCCTTCTAAGGAGAAAGCAGGCTCCTTGTGGCAGCTGGGGACTGGAGGGGACGGGTGGGGGACATTGTTAGGGGGGAGGAAGGGCCGGGTCACCAGAGGGACGGCAGCTGGGGTCCCCTCCCTCCCCAGTGTCTACATAAACACACACACCAGCCCGGATTTGGAAAGTGTGTCTCATGGAGGAGGGAAGGAGGGGGGAGGAGGATTGAGTCAGCGTGGGAATGGGAGACGTGGCAGCGAGGAACCGGGCGCCTGTGCACTCACACAGGAAAGGTCCCCTTAGCACTTCCAAAGCACCTACTGTGCGCCACACGCTGTTTCCAGTGCGCTGCACATTTTGACGTTTAATTTTAACCCTCGGTGCCACCTATGGAGCTGATACCATTATTATTCCCATCTTACAGATGAGGAAACTGAGGCACAGAGAGGTTAGGTAGCTTGCCCGAGGTCCCACCATTTAAAAATAGCGGAGCCCAGATTTGACCCCGCCAGGGAGCTCCGTTAGGTACAGTCACGCACACGCATGCTCACTGATGTTACACACACAGGCAGCCACACAGCCTCCTGATGCTCACCCAGGGGCGCCCTCACGCATGCGCACGCCCAACACACACCTGGTCACACGCGGCAAGTTGCAGACTCCCAGACACACTCTTGCTCACAGTCCGGGACCTGCACGGATATTCGCGGTCCCACGATCGCAGACACTGTGAGACCCGCACAGAGTAACAGCATGCACACACAAGCACACTGTCACACCCGCAATTCACCCGCAATTCACACACACACAACGCCCACACCCTTCCAGGTCCAAAGGCCCTCACGCAGACACATACGGCCCTGCACACACTCTCTCGCGGGCACGCACAAGCACACAACTGTCCACAGAGATACCACCGCAGAGCCACACACAGTCCCTCCAAGTCCCCCGCAGCTCTTCGGCGGCGCGCTGAGTCACAGCGACTCACAGGCACAGACTCGCCGACAGACAGGCGCGCACAGGCAGACAGACTCTCCTCTTCCTCTACCCCGCTCCCACGAAAGGAGACCCGTTCTCTACTCCGTCCTCCCCACTGCTTTTGGGCTCCCCACCCAGCACCCCTGCAGCGGTGGGAGACCCCACTCCTTTCGGTCCTCCCAGGGATCCCCACCCCGCCCCCGCCCCCGCCTCCCCGACGGCTGGCAGCGCGCCCACCCAATCTCTTCCGCAGCTGCCCCTGCCTTTCTCCCCGGGGAGCGCGCCCGCTGGGCCGCAGCCAGGGACACAGTAACCCTCCGCGCCCTCGCCCTGCCCCGCGGCCCACCCTCCCGGTCCCCTCTGGCCCGCACTGCAGCCTCCTTTGCCCCAGTTCCTCGCCTCCGGGGCGCGGGGAGAGAGAAACGCAGGGCTGGGGGTGCGGGGCGCAGATGCTGAGCGGCGCGGGGCAGCGGCGGGGGCCGGGCCCTGGAGGCCCCGCTGGAATTCGCCTCCCGCCGCTCCCCCCGCACAGCTGTTTATAAATTCCAGGCCCGGCCTTGGCCCCCGCCCAGCTCCCCCTCCCAGCCGGTCTCAGCCCCATCTGCGGCCCAGACCCAGCCAGGGGCGCCCAGGGCCCTGGGCCTCCTGCTGGGCTCTGCCTCCGCTGGGCCTCTTGTCTCCCTGCCTCTGACTTTGTGTATCTCTCCCTGTCTCTCTTTTTTGACTTCTCCCTCCCGCCCTTCGGCCCGCCCAGACCTGCAGCTGCGGCCTGTTCACACTTGTTCACCGCCCGCCGCCCCCCCTCCCCGCCCCGCTTTCCCCACCCCCACCCCCACCGGCAACGGGCGCCAACACGGGGAATCACAGCCTCTCTCCCACCGGCTCCCCTCCCTTCCCAGGCAGCGCAAGGCCAGCTGACACAGGGGCACGTCCTAGCAGAGGCCCAGGGCCCTCCTGCCCCGGGTCCAGCCTCACTCACCGCGGCTCACTCGCTGTTTGGCGCCCGACAGGATGCCTGGGGTGTCGATGATACTAATGCTCTCCAGGACCTGGTTGGGGAGGTGGGCGCACATGAACCTGGGGTGGAAGGGAGGGGAGAGGCCGGTCAGTGCAGGGAGGGACGGGGGAGAGGACGCCTCGGACAGGTTCGATCAGGTTCTGAGAGAAGACTGAAAGAGAAAAGAAAGATCAGGACAGAGAATAGTAACTACTAAAAAATTAGAGCTGTGCCCGGAACGCTGTGCCTCATTGGTTGGGCATCATCCCGCAAAGCCAAGGGTCGCCGGTTCGATTCCCGGTCTGGACACAAGCCTGGGTTGCGGGCCAGGTCCCCGGTCAGGGTGAGCTGGAGGACAACAGATCGATGTTTCTCTCTCACATCAATGTTTCTCTCCCTCTCTTTTTCCCTTCCTTCCCCTCTCTCTAAAAATAAAGGAATAAAATCTTTTGGAAAAAATTAGAGCTGGTGTTTACTGAGCACTTACTTTGTCCCGGGTGCTGTCTCAGCATTTTTATGTATTATAATTCACTTAGTCCTCACAACCATCCTGTGGAATGGGGACTACGGTCATGCCCATTTTCCAGATGAGGATAAGGGAGGCCCAGAAAGGGCAAGTCATTTGCCCAAAGCACCGCGCTAGGCAGGGGCGGGCCCCTGCAGGCTGGCCACACTGTTGGGCGCTGCCCTAGGGAAGGCAGGAGAGCAGAGGCAGGGCCGGGGAGGGTCACGGAGGGAGACGGAGATAGGGGCCAAAAAGGGGAGACGCGCAGGCAGGGAAGGGACAGAGACAGGGACGAGGGGCAGGAAGACTCCCCCAGCCCTTGGCCGAGCACCTGTTGAGGAAGGTGTTTCCGAACGGGTTCAGTTTTCGGAAGGGCTTCTCTGGGTCCACGACGAGGGCATTGCCCGGCACGATGCCTTCGGTGTCGCCGTGCATGACGGCCACAAAGCAGTCGGTGGTGGGCTCGGGCCCCACGCGGGAGCCTGGCACCTCCTGCTCCAGCAGGTACTGGATGAAGCTGGTCTTGCCGGTGCTGTACTGGCCGGCCACCAGCACCATGGGCTTCCCGTCGAAGTCGGCGTCCTCCAGGGCAGGCGAGTGGAAGTCTCCGAAGCGGTAATGCTCCTCCAGGGGCAGCAGCTTGGTGCGGTACAGCTCCTTGAGGGACGAGGTCACCGTGCGGATGGCCTCGGGCTGCTGGCCCCGCACCCCGCTCCGCTTCAGCCAGCTGAACATGGCGGCTGCGCGCTACCCGCTGGGCTCGCCGGCTGAGGGAGATGCGCAGGGGGAGAGCTGCCTGCGGGAGAAGAGGAGGGTGCGGATGGGGGACTGCCTGGTGGAGGGGGAGGAGAAGGAAGGGAGCTGCAAGGTGGACCAGAAAGAGGAGGAGGATGGAATGGGCAGGGGCGGGGGGCGGGGAGCAGCAAGCGCTCATGATGGACGGTGGAGTGGGGGTGGGGGGAAGGGCCGAAGGAGGAAGAGAGATGAAGGGTGGAACGACTGAAGAAGGGGGACTGGCCGTGGAAGACCAAGGGACAGAGGGAAGGAGGCAGAAGCTGCTTAGAAGAAATACATTCCTTCATTCTTTTCTTCCTCCCTTCTCCCCTTCCATCATTTCACACATTGTCGCTGAAATCACCCCACGGGTCAGGAGCCATGGGCCCAGAAATAGGCCAGAGGCCGGCTCCCACCCACTCAAAGCCCCCAGTGAGGAGAGGGTTTGGGCACCAAGCAGTCGGTGGTGCCTGAGAAATGCCAGGCGGTGGACTTGTGGGCACCAGAGGGGAACAGGAGGAGCTGGCCCCAGGGTCAGCGAGCTCTGGCGAGGCTGGCTTGTGAGCTGCTCCCCTGTCACAGAGCAGGCATGACAGGGGCATTTAGGCAGAGAGGACGGTGCGTGAAAAGGCCGGGCGCTGTGAAATGGACGGACAGGGTGGCTGGACACAGAGGCACCGGGAGGAGGGGTGAGAAGTAAAGCTGAAAAATTGCCCAGTTGCACCCAGGTCACAAGGCCCTTGGGCATTCACAAGAATAATAACGTGTGGTCAATGAATGCCAGGCACTGCCCTACTTTATTTAATCTTCCTAACAGCCTTGTAAGGTAGGGCTATTATTGTCCTCACTTTTCTGACCAGGAAATGGAGGCTTCGAAAGACAGCACTAACTTGCCCAACGGGCTAGAAAGTGCTAAAAAGGTGGCACTCCAAACAATACGACCTCAGAGCCTGCACGCCTGCCGCAGGTCTGAAGAGTTACAAAGAGAAAGAACTACCAACCCAGCGGCAGCGAGCACCCCCAGCACCCAGACTGTGGTCTCTATTCCCTTCCCAGCCTTTCATTCTCTGTAGGACCTGTAGCGATGCCCCCTCTTTCATTCCTGATATCAGTCATTTCTGCCTTTGCTTTTTTCCCTCCCCCGATCAGTCTAAGTAGATGCTTATAATTTTACTGGTCTTTTCACAAGACCAGCTTTTGGTCGTATCTCTAAATATCCTTTTCCACGGAAAGATACCAGGGCTCCTTAGAGAAGCGGCTGACTCTGGGGCCACCGGAGGGAAAGAAGTGAGCGCAGACCAGGGAGAGGGGAAGCGCTCCAAGAGGGGTGGGGGGACGCGGGACCCAGCCCGGCGGGGACCCCTGGCCAATGTTCAGACAGTTGGAGCATTGGAAAGAATTGCAAATTAAATAGCTTAAAAATCCGTAAAATCATAATGATTTTCAAAAGGAAAAAAAATAAAAAGGGAAGAGGGGTCTGGGAAGAAGAGGTGAAGAAGAGGCAGGAGCTGGGCCCTGGGATGTGGGCAGGAGAGGGAGCCTGGGTACTGTCCTAACGAGGGAGGGGTCTGGGCGTCACGCTGGAAGGACGCTGGGGGTGGCTGGGCCGGCGATGGGGTTGGTGAGGTGGGAGAGGCGCTCCTGCGGGGGAGGAGGACCACGTAGGACAGAGCGGGATGAGGGCGGTGCAGAGAGACCCGGAGGAGGCGTCTGCCCTAGCTGAGAGGATGGGGAGCGGAGCTGGGAGCGACTGGCAGAGACCGGGGGAGTGGGGGAGACTGGGCGAGACTGGGAGGGACGCCGAGAGCGGGAGCCACTGTTACGACTGGAAGGGGCTGGGGGAGGGGAAGAGCCAGGTTTCAGGAGGGACTGGGAACTCGGGAGAGACCGTTAAACTCTGCGGGGTGGGGACTGAGGGTCTTGGGCAAGCAAGGGACTCATCGGGTGCCCGGGCTGGCTCCGGGGCTCCGTGGGCGGGGGCTGGGTGGAGACGGCTGCGGTCGAGGGCCACTCACCGATGGGGCGCGCAAGCGGCTGGACAGGGCGGGCGGGCTGGGCGGGGGTCCCGCGGGGATCAGAGGCGCCGCGGAGCGGCCTGTGCTCGCGGTCCCGTCCGGAGCCGTCTGAGCCGGGTGGGGCCTGGAGCCCGAGGAGGGCAGGGAGGGGCGGGGTGGGGGGGCGGGACGAGGCCCCCCCCCCCCAAACCCGGCGCCCGGCCTCTGGCGCCCCCTGGTGGGCGGCGGGAGGGCGCCTTCGCGAAGTGGTGAGACTCACCTTAAAGGAATAAAAAGAACAGTCACAGCAGCGGTGATGATGCTAACGAAAGACTTAAGTGAATTCAGGACACTCCTCTGCTCACAACTCTCCCTGGCTCCTCTCTCACTCAACGTAACAGCTAAACAGGGTGCCCCGCAAGACCCGCAGGATCCGCCGGTCCCTCGCCCCGTCCTCACCCGCCTCCCTGTTCGCCCTGTTCATTCCGCTCCGGTCACCGTGGCCTCCGGGCTGTTCCTCCCACACACCGACAGCCCTCCAGCCTCAGGGCCTTTGCCCTTGCTGTTCCCTCCACCTGGAAGGGATGGCTTGCTCCCTCCTCTCCTTCAGGTGTCTGCTGAAAAGCCACCTCTGGAGAGAAGCCCTCCGTGCTCTCTTTATTTAAGGCAGCGCCCACCATGTAGCCACTACGGCTGTTTTATTTTCCTCCACAGCTCTTATCACTCCACATACGCCCCACTTCTCTGCGAAAGTGACTGTCTCCCTCACAGCAGCAGGGCCTCCACGAGGGCAGGGAGCCCCCTCTGGTTGGCACGCTGTGCGCCCTCAGCCCGGCACGGGGCCTGGTGCCCCGAAGGAGCTCACTAAACATTTATTGAGTGAATCCCTGAGTTTTACCGAGCGCCTCCTCTGTGCAAGCGCCACACTAAGCTCTTTGAATTCTCAGACTATCCCTGAGAAGTAGGTATTTTTAACCCCCTTTTTCAGGCGAGGCAACCGAGTCCTGGAGAAGTGGATTCAGAAAAGCCAGAGAGATCGCTCAGGGCTGAGCGCCGGGCCTGGTCCGTAGCAGGTGCCTAAACAACGTCCGCGCTGCTGATCCAGGCCCAGAGCTGGGCTTTCCTCCCAGGGAGGGACTCAGGGCAGCCTCGGCCCCGGTCAGATCTAAGCCCTGCCTCTTGCTTCCAGGAGAACTGCAGGAAAGAGATTTTGCCTCTCTGAGCCTCAGTTTCCCCATCTGTCTCACTTCACAGGATCGCTGTTCTTATGTCTTCGCTCCAACGGCACCTCCCCAGGGTGCCCTACCCTGATGTCCTGCCTCCACCCCGCCAGCCCCCCTCCGGACCTCGCGCTCCTTCTCGGCTCTTATCACCGTGGGCCAGAACGTGTTATCTTTTTCAGTTTCTTCTTTTAACATTGATTTTTATTTATTTATTTCTACTGTTACTTATTTTTCATTTTCCCATGCAAAACTATCAGCTCCCTGAGGGCAGGAATTTAGGATTGTTGTGTTCACTCTTTTTTTTTTTTTTAAATCCTCACTGAGGATATACATATCCACAGTGAGGATATGTTTATTGATTTGAGAGAGAGAGGACGGGAGACACAGAGAGAGAAACAGCAATGTGAGAAAGAAATATCATTGCCTCCCCTTCGCATCCCAGCCGGGGATTGAACCTGCAACCTTTGGGGGCACAGGATGGCTCTCCAACAGACTGAGGCACCCGGCCATGGCTGTCGCGTGCGCTGTTGCTTCCCCAGCACCTAGAACAGTGCCTGGCACACAGCAGGTGCTCAGTAACTATTGGCTGGCTGCGAGGATGTTCACAATTGGGGTGTATATATGTGAAGCGAGGGCCTGGAGCTTAGCAGTAACTGGCGTCATTACCGCTAGGAGGCAGGCCCCATGCTAACAGCGCTGGTTGGACTGTTTCCGTCCCCCCTAGGAGGCGAGGTCCTGTTCTTACGTATATTATCATTATTCATCCCTTTTCTGAGATGCGGAAGTTGAGGTACAAGGAAGTCGTGTCTCTCTTGGCCCAAGGAGTGAAATGACGAGGAGCCCAGCCACCTAGCCTGACGGCAGAGCCCTGCTTTCCTTTCCACCCCGGGGCTTCTCAGCCTCAGTTTCCCCATCTGTCCTCAGGTAAAATTCAGGAGGGTCCGTGAACTTGGCCTGGGAAAAATAACGACATGTGGGCTTTCCACTGAAATCCAGGGTTTCCTTGTCCTCTGAGTGTGGGGCCGCAGGACACCATGGCGCCAGCGGGGCCTGTGCCACCGTCACCAGGGGGACTTGCCGATGTTTCCATCACATTTCAGTTGTTTCAAAGATCTCCGGTCACCACCCTGCCCCACTGCTAGCTCTGTATAATTAATGTGTAATTAATAGCAGCCCCTGCTAGCATGTCATGGATTTGTGGGTTTGTTTGTTTGTTTGTTTGTTTTAAGATTTTGTTATTTATTTAGAGAGGGGAAGAGAGGGAGAAAGAGAGGGAGCGAAACATCAATGTGTGGTTGCATTTGGCGCGCCCCCTGCTGGGGACCTGGCCTGCAACCGAGGCACGTGTCCTACACTGGGAATCGAACCGGCGCTCAGTCCACTGAGCCACGCCAGCTAGGGCTGTGGATTTCTTAAAAGACAGATAACTGTATTTTAGTATCGTTGCTTCTCTTGTAATCCCGCGAGTCTTATTTCACGCATTTACAGACATTATTCTAGAAGGGATCAGTGGAGGGGAAAGCCCCCAGTGGACTTTCTGCCCGGCCTCCTTAAATATTGAGCCCTTGATAACTGGCGCTACTGTCTCATCTCACTGTCTCGCTGCTCCCTGGATCAGGGACTCTCGGAGACCTATCCCTGGTGTCATCCCTGATGCCCTCACGGCCTCTGGAGCCCCTTCCCCACGGCACAAGCTCAAATTTTTTTCCAGCTCCCCCTTTCCCCATTTGTCAAAACTGGATGGAGAAATTCTGGCACATTCTACAATATGGATGGACCTTGGAGACATTATGCCAAGTGTAAAAATAAGCCAGTCCCCAAAAGACAAATACTGTGTGAGTTCAGGCATATGAGGTGCTTAGGGCAGTCTGATCCACAGAAATGGAAAGTAGAAGGGTGGTTGCCAGGGGCCGGGGGCGGGGTGGAGGGAAGGGTGGTATTGTTTAAAGGGGCAGCGTTTCAGTTTTGCAAGATGAAACGCGTTATGAAGATGGATGGTGATGATGGTTACACAATGTGAATGTATTTAATGCCACCGAACTGTGTAGTTTAAAATGGCTCCAGTGGTGCCCTGACTGGTGTGGCTCAGCGGGCTGGGTGTCGTCCAGCAAACCGAAAGGTTGTTGGTTTGATTCCCAGTCAGGGCACATGCCTGGGCTGCGGGCCAGGTCCCCAGTTTTGGGTGTGCGAAGGTTAACGGATCCATGTATCTCTCACACATTGCCGTTTCTCTCCCTCTCTTAATCCCTCCCTTCCCCTCTCTCTAAAACTAAATAAAATCTTTTAAAAAACAAAAACCAAAACTGCCGCTCTCCTTCAGCGCTTTATATATTTTGCATGTGGGGGAAGCAGGTGCACAGCCAAGCAGGGGGATCATCTCTAGGAGATTCCACGTACCAGCTTCCCACCACAAACACCTCCAGGGGCTTGCAAAGAACGGGCACGTGGCTAGAGTCCAGCCACCACCTCCCACCTGGCCTGCGGCAGGGACCTCGCTGGGCTCCGATTCCGCCGTCGCGTCTGTTCCCCATGCGGCCACCAGAGGGCGCCAGGGGGGGAAACTGTCAGCTCACAGTCCTGTGCTCAGAACACGCCGCAGCTCCCGCTTCATTGAGTTAAGAGCAGAGCTGTCACCTGGGAGCCCAAGGTCCTACAGGATAAACCCCCTTTGGACCATGTGATCTTGCCTTTCGCCCTGCCCACTGGTTCCCAGGCGTGGTGCTTAATGCTGCGTGGCGTTCCTAAGCAGAAAAAGGTTGTGATGGGCCTTATGGAGAAAATAGGTAATATTGGATGAACTTCCTTCAGGTGTTGAGTTCTAGTGCTGCCGGCCGTGAGCTCAATGTTAGCGAATCAACAATGGAGGTGTATTCATAAGGTGTCTCTAAACAGAAACACACATAAAACAAGGCGACAGGTTGATCATTTGACTAGAATGTTGTGACCAGAGGCTCCAAGTATTCGCTGAGTTTATGTTTTAGACCACAGAACATTAGCGTGCATAATCATGGAGAAAACAAAATAAACCCATAAACAAAACAGAAAAAGACCTAAAGAGAGCAAGCTGCGGGTTGCCAAGGAGAGGCGGTGGGGAGATGGGAATTTTTTTTAAAAAATCGCCTGCTTGAGCTGTTCAGTTTTCCTCCTTCACTAAGTCCCCACCCCCTACCCCCAGCCCCGGGGCAGGGATTCCTGTCCGCCTGGTCCCATGCTGCACCCCTTGCTGGGAACAGCGCCTGGCACCCAGTAGGTGCTTCACCAATATATGTGGAATAAGCGCCCCTCCGCCTGCCCACCCAAGTCTCACCCCAACCCCCAGACTCCAAACCCCCCCAAGACCCAAAAGCAAAGGGGCTGAGGGGTCGTCAGTAGTTTTAAAAAAAGGATCGGCTTTTAATTTACAAGAGTTCTAAATGTACAGAATTCTCCTTTAAAAAAATTGTTATACACAATAAATACAGTACAAAAAAATTTATCTTACAGTACTAGTTTTGTCTCCGAGATTTCAAAATCTGGCGCGGGTGGCTGGCGGCAGGAAGAACAGAGGGAAGACTGGTGGGGGTGGGGGTGGGGAGGAAGACCTCGGTTTCCTGTGTTGGAGGTGCTTGGGCTTCAGTTGAGGGACGGAAGGGTTCGGAATCTCTCTCTCTCTCTCTCCCTCTCTCGCTCACTCCAGCACACACACACAGGGACACAGGACAAGGAGCTGGACGCACACACAGGGATGCGGCAGGTGCCCTCTGCAGGTCCCGCGGCTCTGGCTCACACTGCCCCTTCCCTGCGTTTCCTCTTACGGCCTCCTGGGGGCGGTGTGGAGGGGCTGGGCGGGCCTCCAGGGACCCTCCCAGCTCCGAGCGCCCGCCAGGCGTGGAGGCCTGAAGCCACACAGACAAGCCTGGCACCTGGACACGCACGAGCAGTGGGAACAAGCAGGGTGCCCCCATACCTGGCAACCACACGCATGTCCCCTGGAAGGAGGGGTGGAGTGTAGCAGGAGGTGGGAAGAAATGGGACGTGACACACCAGGTTTACCGCTCCTTTGGCAGGGGACATTGTACATTTACAGCCCCCTCCCCTAAATCCACGACCCCCCGCCCAACAACCCCGCTGAAGCAGGCAGTGGGAGAGGAGGCCTTTGTGACTCAAATAACTTAGGCAAGAAAAACTCAGGGGCTCCCCGGCTCGTGGGCCCCCAGGAGGCTGAGGTCAGCAGCTCAGCTGGCCCTGGCGTCCGCACCGAGCGGGGGACGGGGAAGGGAAGACCAGCCCGGTGTTATCTGTTCAACGTCCTGGCGCCGAGGCCGCCGTTGTGACTGGAGGGCGGGTAGGCCTCAGGCCTGTGCAGGGGCGACGGGGAGGCGGCCGTGGCCGGCGGGGCGTGGGCGTACGGGGGGGCGGGTGTCCGGCCGGGGGCCTGCTGGAGGTTCAGGATGCTGTCGATGGCGCTCTGGAGGTGCTCGGTGAGCGTGTCGTCCTGCGGGCTGTCGCTGGAGAAGCTGGCCTGGTCCACGTCCGGCGACTCGGACTTGCGCCGCTTGGCGGGGGGCAGCGGGGGCGCCTCCCAGCCGGGGTCCCTGCTGCCGCTGCCCTGCGCCGCACTGGCCGCGGCCTCGGGCGGGGCGCCCTTCAGCATGCGCTGGTACAGCTCGTCCTCCACCGCCGCCAGCTCGCGGATCAGCCCGCTGGTGGCTTCGTCCACTTTGGTGGGCAGCGGCGCCGGACTGCCGCCGCGCGCCCTGCCGGTCACGGCCCCCTCGGCCGCCCCGCCGCCCAGGGCCTCCACGTTCTCGCGGTACGTCTTTCGCAGCGGCAGGCGCGGGCAGTGCGCGGCCGGGGCCGGCGGCTTGTGGTCCGGGGCAGCGGGAGGCGGGTGGTCCACGGTGCCGTTCATCTGGCCCGTGGTCTGAGGCGGCGGCGGCGGGGGCCGGGGCGGGGGCTCGGCCGCCTTGAGGGCGGCGTGCGGTGGCGGCGGCGGCGGCGGGGGCTGGTGCACCGGGTCCAGGGCCGTGTTGTGCACAACCTTGCTGAGCCCAGCTTCCTGCTTGATCTTGAGCTTGAGACCGATGCGGCTCCGGGCCTCGTAGGTCTTTATGGGCGGGCGGCTGCGGGAGGGCATCGGGCCGTCCTCGTCGGCGTCCAGGGAGGAGGCGGCGGAGGCCGAGGAGGACGAGGAGGACAGGCAGGAGGACGCGCGGGCCCAGGTCACGGACGGGGAGCCGCCCGCCCCGCCATGCCGGATCACCAGCTTGGTGGGCAGGTGCAGCGGCGGTTGCGCGGGCGCCCCGGACGCCGAGGCAGGCGGCGGGCCCTGGCCGGGAAGCCGATGTCCCTCGGAAGAGGCTGTGGCAGGGAGGCCGAGGGAGCGGGAGGAAGACATGTACTCATCTGCAGAAGGAGGGGCCAGGAAAACCCAGAAGTCAGGCAAGGCACGGGTTGCCTGTGCAGAACACAGCTGGTGGGGGGGGCTGCTGTGCACTGCGCCCCTACTGTCCCCTAGGCCCTGGGCTGGGCCGCTGACTCAGGCGACCCTTCTCAGCAGTCCCCAAATCCCGGCAATGGCGCAGAGAGAAACACAGCACCTTAGGCTAGATGCCACCATTTTGCAACCTGGGTACCTTGCTTGCTTCACCCTCATCCTGGCGCTGCTCCCCTGCTTCTCTACCCACCTGAAGGTGGAAGAACGTCCCTTCCATGCCGGGACCCAGAGGGTGAGGGTCCGTGGCGATGGAGGAAAAGAGACTCGGTTCGCAGGGAGCCCGGCCCCCGCACGGAGGCCGCTCGGGCGCCGCCTAGTGGCGCCGCGAGGTAAGGCCACGCCCCCTCCAGCCCCGGTCTCATTCTGCTGCAACGGAAGGCGCAGAGGGCATCTCTCCCCTTCCTTCTGTCCTCTCCCCTCTCACCAGGCTTCTCCTTAGCCAGCTGTTTGTCCAAGGCGAGGGTTGTCTTCTCCTCCTGAATGAACATTCGGTCGATCATCACCATCTCCGCTGACGGGCTCACCCTCTGAGGGGGGAGAAGGTGGGCAAGTGAAGAAGCCGGGAGGGGGCAGGGGATACGAGTAAGCCAGGTGGATGGGCGCAGACTCCCAAGTGTCCCTGCGATCTGACCGCCAGCCTCCCTGCCTTCCTCCCTCCTTGAGAGGGTAAGGCCAGGGTCCCCTGGGGGATGGGGGGAGGTGACCCCACCCTACCCGGGACTCCTCCAGGAGCAGGAGGCGGTATTTGTTGAGCATGGCCTGGGTGCGTTTCAGCAGCTGCGTGGAGACGGTCTCAAACTCCTCGTCCACTGAGGGAGAAGAGCACAGGGCACAGGCGTTGCAGGTGGGCTGAAGCGCAGGTGCCCACCAGCCCACTCCACGCTGCCGGGCGAGGATGGGGTGGCTCCGGGAGGCCTTACCTTTGTGGTAGTCGTTGGGGGAGGGGAGGGCACCCTGGTAGACGTGGTAGGGCAGGAGACGATGCAGGGCATCCTCGAAGGAGGGGAAGGCTGTCTTGTAGTCTGGGTGCAGGACGGAGCCCTGATGTTTGTGCAAATGTTCTAGGAAACTGGGGGTGGGTGAGGAGAGACCACACACGCAGAGCTGGTGATGAGGCCAGGAGAGACCAGGACCCCGAGCCCCAGGCCCCAAAGCTGGCAATGGCGGGAGGAAGAGAGAACTGGGAAGCAGGTGCCAGCATGAGCTGGCTGTGCTTGACCTGTCTCACGGGACCTCTGGTGACACCCCACGCGTGGAGGTGCTACCATTATCCCATTTCGCAAACGAGGAAACCCAGGCCCGGAGCGGTGAAGTGCTTCCACCCAAAACAGAGCGAGGAAGCATCAGAGCTGGGAATCAGGCGCCAGGGCCTCCAACTCCTCCTCCATGCTATGCTGCCTTCCGCCACCAGGGGTCAGCATGGCGCCACGCTGCGGTGGCCAACGTCCCTGGACTGGTACCTAAAATCCTCTTCTCTCACAGGCTTTCTACGGTAGCACAGATTACAGCGACTTATGTCTCTTTATCCTGTGATAGTCCCCACCCTGTGCTGAAGAGCAGCGGCCCACACACCGCAGGGGCAGGATTTGGTCTGTCTTGCATTTCCAGAACCCAGCACAGGCCTGGGCAACGAGTGAGTGTTTGATCAATACTCGGTGGGAGGAGGGCAGAGAAGGCAGGCAAGCATCTAACGTTTGCCCACCCACCTAAAACGCCCATCCCTCCACCCACCTGAACATCCATCTATCCACCCAAACACCAACCCTTCCACCCACGCATCCAGACCCCACCCCCGCCCCCCAGGCCCAGTCTGAGGTCTGAGGGTGCAACGGGGACCAGGGCACGCCAGGGCCTCCCGCCTGAAGTCACCCGCCTCACGGTGCCACAGGAATGCTCTTAGCACCGTCTCACCGCATCCTCACCCATCATGCCCGTCACCACCCCATTTTCGGGGGTGGCGGCCTGGGGTTGTGTCAGGGAAATGGCACCGGGAAGCCACAGGGTGGACACAGGGGCGAGTGGGGATTCTGCGGCCTGCCCCCCGCTGCAGGGTGGCAGGCAGAAGTCTTGGGGGGGGGGGTGCGGCAGGAAACAAGGAGGAGGACGGCGCTGCTCCTCACCAGGCCTCCTTGCTGGGCTGAAGTGGGGGCGCTTTCTTCAGGCCGCTCAGCTTGCTCTCATACTGCGGGGTGAAAGGCGAGTGAGCGGGTCGCACGGACATGCCTCCCCTCCCTCGGTGCTCTGACCCCTGACGTCCCTCAAACTAGGGCACAGGCAGGAGGGGCCCATCTCCCCCATGGGGACTTGGTCCTGCCCATCACACGCAACCTGCAGGGGAGAGCGGGGCTGGGTGCGGTGGGCACGTGGCGAGGAGAGGGGGACAAGCAGACCTGAGCCCTGAAGCCCCCTCTCCCGCTGGGGCTCGGGCCTCGCCTGCCTTCTGGGGGGACACCAGGGGCGCTTCTGGCGCCTCCCCCGCTGCTCCTCTCGGGGTCTGCAGCCCCTCCACCCCGGCTCCTCATTCTGCCTCAGGTCTCTCTGCACCTCGGCCTCCTCCCTGTTCCACGCCCAGTCTTCCCGCTCAGCCTCTGGTGAATCTTGTCTTCAAGACTCTCCAACCCCTCGGGTCCCGGTCCCTCCACCTGCCCTGCCTCTCATTTCTGCACAGGCGCCCTTGTCTCCCCGCCCCCACCATTCCCCACAGGTGACCTCTGCCTCTGTCGCCCCCCACCCCCCGCCCCTCTGTCCAGGGCTTCACCAGACCCTTTCTCTTGCGTTTCCCACCCGCCCGTCCGGAGCCTGCATCCGACAGTGTCACCCCTTCCTCCCTCGGTCAGCCTCTCGCCTGCTCCCGCCCCAGGGACCACAGGAGGTCTCAGGCCATCTCTCTGACTCTCACCCAATTACCCAGCTACCGTGCTGTCTGTGGGCCTCTGTCCAAAGGTCTCGGTCTCTCACATGGCCACTGCCCGGACTGTCCCGTGTCACCCACTGTCTGGATTTGCCTTATCCACCTGTCCGTCCATCAGCCTCCCGGGCCCCGCCGCCCCCCGCCCTCGCTCCGGCGGCCCCTTACCTGCGGCCCGGAGGGCTTCCCTGGCCCGGACGCAGCGGCCTTGGCCACACTCAGGGTGGGGAGGTTGCTGGCAAAAGCTTTGCTCTCGGCAGGAAGCAGAGGAGGGAGGCCTGGGGGCAGGGGTGGGAGCAAACAGGGCTCAGAGGTCACCGGCAAAGGCCCCCCTCACACGTGACCGCCCCAAGCCTGCCTCCCGCTCTGCTCCGGTGTTCCGGCCTCAGCGGTCCCACCGGCCATAGGACCTGGGAGACAGCCCTTCCTCCTCCACCTTCCCTGGCCCGTGAGGTCCGAGCGACCCCTTGGTTCCATAGCTCAGCCCCCCCTCAGGTCCCCATCCTTCCTTCGTGGGCTACCCCTCCCCTACCTGCGGCGGCCATGGGTGCCGGGGCAGGGGGATGGCTGGGGGCGGCGGGGGTCCCGGATGGGGTCTGCCCGCTGACCAGCACCGAGGCAGCGGTGCTGGCGAGGGGCCCCAGGCTGGCGGAGGTCTGCGGGGCAGCGGGGGGGCCCCCGGCTTTGCTCTGGAGAATGATTCCGGACGGCACCTGAGGAGGGGACAGGTGGTTGAGGGGCGGGGGCACCCGCTAGGAGTGGGGGCAGCCAGGCACCAGGGCTGGGGGGGCTCCCATCAGACTGCAGTGGGGAGGGCCGCCGGAGCATGCGGCGGGGGGCCTGCGGCCTGCGTTACCTGGTGAAATCTCTCCAGAAGAGCCTTCGGCTGGGGCAGCGCCGGGAAGGGGGCGGTCACCATCTGGAAGGTCCGAGGAGGCGGTGGGGGGGGCGCCGCGGGCTCGGGGACCAGATGGAGGGTTGGAGGGGGCGTGGGGGACTTGTGGGGCCCTTGGCCAGGCAGGAACTGGAGCTGGAAGTCGGGTGGCGTGGGGGCTGGCAGTCTGGCGGACGTCTCGGAGGAGGCCACGACGGAGGAGGTGGAGGCAGGAGGCAGGTGGGGGGCTGGGGGCAGCGGTCCCTCGGGGGGCTGGGACGGGGGTCGCAGAGGGGGCTGGGGTGGGCCTGGGGCAGTCGGGGCAGGGGTGCTGGCAGGTGGGGGGACGCCCAGCTGGTTCTGGATGACAAAGATGCCAGGCAGAGTGGGGGCGGCCTGGGACGGGGGGCAAGGGTGCAGAGCGGGCTCTGAGGGTGGGCGGGACAAGCTCTGGGGCTGGGAGGGCGGCCGGGAGTGGGGGCGGGAGGGCGGGCGTGAAGGGGGTCGGGTGGGGTGTGGGGAGGGCAGGTGGGGACTGTCTCCCAGAGGGGTCTGGTGAGGTAGTGACGGGGACGAGGAGGGGCCCGGGCCCTTCAGTGGAGCCGCTGCTGGGATCTGGGCAGGGGAGGGAGGCAGAGGGGAGGGGGCAGGGGTCAGAACCAACCTTGGCTCCCATTGTCCTAAGACACTGGGGACCCCGGCCGCCCCCACCAGAAACCACCCTTCTTAGCAACCCCCGGCCCCGGAAGAATCCCTCCATGAGAGCCGCTGCCCTTCCCGCCTCTCGTGTCTCACTCCCCACCTCGCCCCTGCACCCACCCCTCCTCACCCCCGCCACACCTCTGCCCTCTGAGCTCTCCCCCCGCCCCCATGCCCGCCTCCCCAGTTCCCCCAGACGAAGGTGCAGGGTTTGGGGGCAGCAGCAGAGGCAGCAGCAGGCGACAACACACCAGCTGTCCAGCGGGGAGGCGGGCGGGGTGGGGGCGCCAAGGAGCGTGAGCACAAGCAGCGAGCAGAAGGGGGTGCCGGGCGGGGCAGGTCCCAGCAGCCAAGCCCGGCCTGACTGTCTGGCTAACCCTCCGGCCGTGTCCCCGGGGGAGGGCTGATGGCCGTGGAGGGCACAGTGGGGGCTGGGGGGCCCAGGCGGCCGAGGGTGAGGACAGCCGCCTGTGAGTCCTGGGCCCCGTGGGGGGTGTCCAGGGCCTCTGCCTCCGTGTGCTATGTGGTCGGGGCTCTTGGCCACCTGAGCGCCGCCTGGGTCCACAGGCACGGGCACGTGTGTGCACACTCTAGTGCCGCAGGTGCGCGTGTATCAGGCTTGAACACGAGATCCAGGCGTAGTTCTACCACATGGACACAGCCACCCTGCCTGACACGCCTCGGCCCTGCACTCTCCTGCCCTGAAATCAGGACCGTGGCAGCCAGTTAATCGGCGAGTGCCAGCGGCGTCACTGGCGCAGCTGCAGTATCCTCGCCCTAGTGACAGCTCACACGGATCCAACAAGTACAACTGGCCACCTGCGCCCACGCGTGTGGTCTTCCACGGCCCCAAGGGCAGCGACCACATTGGACTGATCTCACGGATGAGACCCTGAAGCCTGGAGCCGAAAAGACGGGTCCAGAGTCTCCCGGTCTTACCACCACCCAGGACTTCAAAGCTGAGCGAGGAGGGCTCGGGCCTTGCCCAAGGCCCCGGCGCTGCCGGGCTCCGAAGCTGAGCTCTCCGCTCCGAGCCCCCGAGGTGGGCCGACTCATGATTTCAGAGCCGCGACTTGTTTTAAGGCTCCGAGCCTCTGGGCCCTGCAGGCATCCCTTCCAAGCTTGCCCTGCGCATGTCAGCAATTCAAAACGAAAAGGAATCGCTCATTCTGCCCGTTCCCAAAGGCTTGCCATGCCTAAGGAGAGAGCAGGGGCAGCCCCTACCTCCCACAGGGCTGGCTGAGGTTGGCACCCAGATAACCCCTCCGGAAGGCAGTTTGGTCTGGTGACTTGGAGAAGGCCCAACCTTTGACCTGGTGGCCCCCCTCCAGGCATCTGTCATAAGGCGCAGCCAGGCCCTCACTCACAGGGCTACCCACTGTGGGAGCATTTACAGGACAGAACAGGACACTGACCCGAAGGGCCCCAAGCAGGCGAGGGGCTGAAAGAGTCAGGAGAGGAGAGCTGGCCCGCTCCACCCCTCCCTACACACAAGGCCGACGGAGAACACAGCGCTGAGTGAAGCAGGCAGAGCAATGCATTCCGCGATGGCTGGGCAGGTGGCCAACCTGCACTATGGACAGTGGACCAGACAACAGTCTTGTTTCCATGCTAAATTTGCTGACTTTGAATGTATCTACCATAGCTGAGTAAGAGAACATTCTTGTTCCTAAGGGCTGAAATACTCTACTAAAATATTAACATGTAAAGGAGACTGATATCTGCAATTGATTCTCAAGTGACTGGGGGGTGGGGGAGGGAATGCTATTGAGAGCTACGAATAAGAACAAAGGGAACTGGCCCCCAGAGGCCCCACCTCCTCATAGTCAGTCTCCTCTGACTCTGCAGACGTGTTGGTCTCTGTGACCAATAGAATTCGGCCAAAGTGATCACATGCTACTTTCGATGTTAGGTTATCAAAAAGGCTGTGGCTTCCATTCAGGGCACAGCCTCTCTCTCTCTCTCTCTCCCCGCCCCTTCTCCCTCCCCCCATTGGATCACTCAGTTTGGTGGAAGCCACCGTGCAGCGTGTTATGAGCCACCTCTTACAGGAGCCCCTGCAGAGAGGCGCTGAGGCCTCCTGCCAACAGCCACCTGAGAGCACCACCTTAGAAGCCAATGCTTCAGGTGACTGCAGCCCTCGTTCGCATTTTGACCTCACGAGAGATGATGAGCCAGAACCCTCCAGACGCTACTTCCACATTCCTGCTCCTTCAAAACTGTCGGAGATGAGGTAACGTTGGTTGTCGTAAGCAGCTAAGTAGTGGGGTAATTGGTTACATAGCACTACACAACTAATATATCTGGTTAAAGAGTAAAGAGCTCCCCTGGGTGCTTTGAGCTATTTTTGCAACTTTGCATATATTTTAAATGATTTTAAAACAAAGTTAAAAATACCAAAATTAAAAAATAAATTTAGATCTGTTCTCATTAAAAATGCAGAGACAAACACACACACACACACACATACCACAAACAAAACAAGGTAAAAACACCAAATGACCTACTAGGGGAAATACCTGCAATTTGTAGCACAAAGTTATCCTTTTCATATGTAAAGAACATCTAGAAATCGCTAAGGAAAAAAGCAGAGAAAAAGAGGGCAAAGGATATAACTAGACAGTGCACAGGACAGGAAACACAAAAGACTTAAGTGTTTCAAGAGATGCTCAAGTTCACCTGTAATAAGAGAAATGCAAATCGAAAGTACCCTATGGAACCATTTGCACTCTTCACATTAGGAATAAGCCACGTGTCCCATAAAGACACTCTTACATACTGCCCGTGGGGGTCTAAACTGACACAATGTGCTACAACTCCAGAGGCAGGGGATTCGGCAGTAGCTACCCAAATTATAGGTTCACATTTGCTTTGATTCAGCACAAAGGCTTCTGGGAAGTAACCAGGCAGATACGCCTGCTCCTGTGGGAAACGACACATGAACAGGTTGTTTACAGCAGCTCCGTGGGGAGCGCCAATGCCTGGACATGGTCTAACGTGAATCAATACAGCATTCACTGGAGAAACAGGTTATAGGACCCCCCACGGATACCAAAGCCCATACATACTCTCGAGTCCCTTATATAAAACGTCATAGTATTTGTACATAACCTGCACATATCCTCCCATATATGTTAACTCATCTCTAGATTATTTAAAATGCCTAATGTAATGTAAATGTTATGTGAACAGTTGTTACACCGTATCATTTAGGGATCAACTTTCTGGAAATTTTCTCCCTAAATATTTTCAATCCATGGTTGGTCGAATTCGTGGACGTAGAACCCGCTTATACGGAGGGCCGACTGTGATTCCCTGGACAGAGAGAAATGTTAACCCACATGCGCACCAGGCTGTGTACGTACACAGACACACACGAGTAAGTTCCTGTGGCTGTCTGGGGGGAGCGCGGGCCGGCACGTTGGCATGGGGCAGGACGTTTCCCCTGCACTTTAAAAACAAAATGCTCTCCAGTGACTGAACCCTATGAAATAATACCTAATTTTAAAAATTAAAAAAAAAAAAATCTTCCATGAATGGGAAGAAAAAAAAAGCTGAAAAACATTTCCTATCAAAAATGTTACCAGCGGCTTCTATGTAGTGGGATTAGGAGTGATTTTTTCCTTCTGTTCTTTTGTGTATTTTCTAAATTCTCCAAATAAGCATGAACTTATTTTTATAATCATTTCTTTAAAACTACCACACAAGCGGACTGTTTATGAAGAGACTCCAACTGTCCCTGTGTGGATGGACGGCAAGGCGGTCCGCGTCACACAGAGCTGGAGGACGCGCAGGAGGCGTCTGCCGGCGCACGGCTCTGGGCCGAGACCACGCGGGGGGGGGAAGCCCCTACAGGCACAAGGCTCGCGGAGTGTAGCCGGATTAGGGCTTCCTAAAAAATGGTTGGCAAGTGTACACACTCTATGATCCAGCAATTCTGTTTCTAGAAATTTACCCTACCGTTATTTTCATACGTGTGTGCAAAGCCTGGGTAAAGAATATTTATAAACATTGGCCGTGGCTGGGTGGCTCAGTTGGGTGGAGCATCATCCCGCACATCAAAAGGCTGAGGGTTTGTGGGTTCGATCCCCGGTGAGGGCGCGTATGCAAGGCAGCTGATCGATGTTTCTCGCTCACTTTGATGTTTCTCTTTCTCCCTCTCTAAAGTCAATAAATATATCCTTGGGTGAGGATTAAAAAAAAATTTGTGACCATTGTTAATCACAGGGGAAACCACCTTCAGTTGTCATGATAGGGGACTGAATTAATAAATCATGAAATAAATGATATGAAAAGGGTCAGCAAGCCACCGGCTCCTGGGTCCAATCTGGCTTGCCGCCTGCTTGCCCTGTCATTTTTGTAGGGCTCACAAGCTAAGAATAGTTTTATATTTTCAAATGGTTAAAAAAAAAAAGAAAAATATTTTGTGGCTCGTGAAAAGGATACGAAATTCAAGTTTCAGTGTCTATCAATAAAGTTTTATTGGAACGCGCCCATACTCGTTCATTTAATGTATGGTCTATAGCTGCTTCTGCCGTATACAAGTCTCCCACACCTACGGTTTTGCTTTCCAGTTTCAGTTACCTGAGGTTAACCACGGCCCAAAAATGTTGAATGGAAAATTGTAGAAATAATCACTTTGTAAGTTTAAATTGAGGAACGTGGCCCGTCCCATTCTGTCCTGCCGGGACCCGAGTCGAGCTTCCGTGCGTCGCAGCGGCCGTGCGCGCCCCGCCCCCAGTGGCGCAGTGGCCGCCGGTTACCTGGGGGGCGGGGCGCTGCGCGTGAGGCGGCGGTGCTTATGCTCAAGCCGCTCTCATTTTACTTAATAAGGCCACAGTCACGTAACTTTTATGTTATCGTTGTTAATTGCTTACTGTGCCTAATGAATAAATTAAACTTGATCGCAGGTATGTGCATATAAGAACATTATACAGAGTCCGGCAGAAGGAACGCCTGCTTGAGTGTGGTTGGGAGGGTAATAATATGGGTTTAATAACTGACAGTTTTAATTTGAACGCTGCGCCTAAGACGCCATATCTTGTGTGCTTGAGTGGGACGCTGTTAGGCTATCCGCGGGTTCAGTCACCCGCTGCGGCAGTGTCTTGGCAAGTATCGCCCGCAGATGAGGCAAATGACTGCAGTGCCCAGAGAGGGACCCTCCAGGCCGCAAGGGCCTCCTCTGCCCTTCAGACAGGCTGCCTGCCTTTCACACTGTAGGCCTTTCAGACGTGCCGACGCTGTCCAAGCTCTTTACGTACTTTAGTTGTCCCCCTGAAGTACATACTATTATCCTCACTTTACAGGAATGGAAACTGAGGCACAGAGCCTACAGTGGCAGAGTTGGGGCTCGAGTCCCTGTTCCTGACGACTACCCACAATCCTCCAGGACGGTGGGTTTCAAACCGCTCGCAGGACCATCACCACACTCTCCCTGGATCTCCCGGGGCTTACGCACCGGGCAGCGCTCATCCCGGCGGGTGGCTGGGCTCCCAACCCCCCCACCCCCCTATTTAATTATGCTCACGGAATGTCCGCTGCGTGCCAGGCGCTGTTCCGGCGCTGGGGATACAGCAGCGACAAGACAGACGAAACTCGGCCCTTGTGGGGTTGATTTACACTGCCTACGTTTTAAAGCGGGAAGCCCTTTATCCCGAGAACCTCCTCCATACCGGGAGACCGGGAGGGACAGGCTCCAAGGGGCGCCTGGATAAGCGCCCGGCCCCCTGCAGGTGTCTGCAGTGACCCGCTGAAACAGCGCGGGACCAACATGCTCTGGCCCGGGTCTCTGAGGAGGGAGGTTTGAAGAAGGGGAGCCACTTGCCAGAGAGACCCAGGCCTGCGAGTGACCCACTCTAGAACCAGTGCTTCCAACTTGGGTCTCTCCCAGACCAGGCGCCCCTTGTCCCTCCCCTACCCCTTCCTGCCTACCCGCCCCCTCCCTGCACAGACCCGATGCCCTCATGACCCCATGTCCCTCTGGATGGGACCCAAGCTCTGCCCCATAACAACAAAGGCTAATACAATAGCAAATACGTATCAAGTGCTTGCTCTGTGTGAAGCACACGTGAACTCTTTTACTCCTAACAGATCTCTAAGAAAATATTCTTGTTATCCAGATGCGGAGGTCGAGGTTCAGCAGTCCCAGCGACTTGCTCAGGGCCAGCACTGGCCTGGCACACAGTGAATGACCCACCCTCCCCAAACACCTGTTGATGAATGAACAGACTGGCTGCTTACAGTCACGTGGCACTGAAATCATACAAGAATGAAATCATGGCTGTTTTGAGGCCAAAATCAGCTGATTTCTGCCACCCGCGACTGCACTGATGCTACTCCTTCTTCCTCTCTGTCCCGACGTGCCCATCCGCTGGTCTTTTTGAATGAGTGACACCACCCCTCCGGGGTAAAAGGTGTCTAGCTCTCCCTAACCTCTGGTGCTTATGACCCCTATGAGACAACAGCTAAATTTCCTAATATGTAAAGAGTTTCTACAAATCAACAAGAAAATGACCAATAACCCCAATGTTAAAATGGCAAAGGGTTATGAACAGCCAATTCCATAGACAACCCAAATAGTTCTAAATCAATGAAAGCCTGCCCAACCTCATTCCCAGCAAAAGAAATGCAAGTAAACACAAGGGACAATTTTTCGCCTACCACACTGGCCAAGTTCAATACATGGCAGAGGCTGCTGGAAACAAGGCATAGATCATGTATTGGTGATAAAGGAGAAACTGATTTACACACCATGGAGAGCAATTTGGCCATACCCGTCAAAACTACAAATACATGTATTCTTAGACGCAGCATCTCCTTTTCAAGAATTTATCCTATGAAGAGCTGAGTGCACAGTCATTCTTGGCAGCCTTGCTTATAACAGGTAAAGACCAGATGTGACCAAAATATCCACAACATGGACTAAATAAATAACAGCACCCCCACACAATGGAATGCTATGCAGTTGTATAAAAGAACAAAGCAGTCTCCACGATGAGTTTTTAAATGATAAAAGCAAGGTGCAGCCCTCGCTGGTGTCGCTCAGTGGATTGAGTACCAGCCTGTGAACCAAAGGGTTGCTGGTTCGATTCCCAGTTAAGGCACATGCCTGGGTTGCAGGCCAGGTCCCCAGTAGGGGGTGCTCAAGAGGCAACTGTACATTGATGTTTCTCTTCCTGCCTTCCTCCCTCCCTCCCCCTTTCAAAAAATAAATAAATAAAATCCTTAAAATACTATTTAAAAAAAAAAAATGCACAGTGCAAACCTGCATGCAGCAAACGCTACCATTTTTGTAAAAATGGAAGGAAAAGAATCCGGACATCATTTTGGTTGTCTGTGCCCAAAAGGGAGAGACAGCCACAGGCTTAGGCTCAGGAAAGGGGCTTCTCTTCTCTGCCTCTTTACATGGGAACTACCTGAATGTTTTCTTTATCCAGATATGAAAATTTTAGGAAATCACTGATTTTCCACTGTGTGTGGCGACTTCCTGCCTCTGCCTAGAGTGCGGGCTCCCCGGCAGCTGGCCCTGGTCTTAGGTGTCTGTGACTGTCAGGAGCCCTCAGAAATGTCTGGGGAGCGAAGGAGAGCGCCATTTCCCAAGCCAGCGAGACAGAGAGGCAGGCAGGGCAGCCAGGGGAGGAAGGGGAGCAGAGGGGGGCGTGGGGGCAGGGCTGGCTGGGCCAGGGCGGAGGCTGCTGGGGTTCATCTACCTGGGGGGCTGGCGCCGGGGAGGCCTGGCCGTCGGGGGCCTGAGGGCCGAGGCCAGCTCCTTGGGCGGCGGGGGTGCTCGGGGCTGGGTCTTGGGCGGGAGCCGGGGCGCTGACTATGACCGAGGCGGGCACGGAGAGGTGGGGGCTCTCGGCGGAGAGGGGCTGCTGGCTCCTCTCCTGCAACGGGCAGCCCGCACAGGGTCAGCAGGCCGCCCCCGGCCTGCGGCCTCCCCACCCTGAGGCCCCCGCCCGCCCCCAGCGATGCTCCAGAGAAGGGGGTGTGGGAACCAGGTACCAGCAGCACCGAGGGGCCAGCAGTCCTGGGGAGCCAGGCACCGGGGGGGGGGGGCAGCCCTAGTAGCCCCTGCCACTGGGTCCCTGGGGGTCTGTCATCTTCCAGCGCCACCTCTCCCTCTGTCTGTCCCGTTTGCCCGTCCACATCCCTCCTAGCCCTCCAGCAGGAGGGCAGTCTGTCAGTCAGTACCTCTCCTTGTCAATCAATCGTCCCATTAGCCAGCCGTTTGCTGTGTTTGACTGTCAACCAGTCCCTCTCCTTGTCCGCCTGTCCCTGTCTGGTGTCAAATCAATGGTCCCCTCTCCCTGTCTGTCACCTGTCAGTTGGGCCCTCTGTGTCTCCAGTGTCAAATCGATTCTCCTTGTCTAGCAGTTGGTCCCTCTCCCTGCCTGTCATCTGTCAGTCGGCCCCTCTCTGTGTCTGTCTCCCTGTCAGTCAGTCCGTGTCTCCCTCGGGCCTCCGCCTAGGGGATGCCAGCACCCAGGCAGGGTGCCACCTCGGAGACGCACTCCCAGCCCACAAGGCCTCCCCAGTCGCTGCCCCGCTGGGATCGGCCCCTCCCCGCAGCACAGCCCCGGCCCTCGCTGCCCCGCAGCCCCCACCCGGCCCTGGTTACCTGGGGCAGGAACATCTGCAGGGAGTCCTGAGTGAGGATGGCCGTGGCGGCGGCAGAGGGGGGCAGCACGATCTTTTCCGGGCTGGACGCCAGGACCGGGCTGGGCTGGGGGGTGGTGGCCTGAGGTGGGTTGGCGGCCTGGGGCGTAGGGGCCTGTGAGGGGGGCTGCTGCGGTGCCTGCGGCTGCTGAAGGCCCAAAGGCAACGGGGTGCTGACCGTGGGCGGCGCCTGGGGGGCTGTCTGCACCGTGAGCACAGGCGCGGCCTCGCCGGCGGCGGCGGGGGTGGCCGGCTGCACCAGGCCGTCAGGGGTGTTGAGCATGGCCACGGCGCTGGGGGGCAGAGTGACCCCCTGGAGGACGGTTGCGGCGGTGGGGCCGGCGGGCGCCGGCTGGCTCTGCGTGGGCAGGCTGCCGGCGGCCAGGGACACAGGCATCTGGAAGAGGGCGGGCTGGCCCACCTGGATGGGGGCGGCCGAGAGGATGTGGGCGGCGCTGTGGGCCCCGGAGTGGGGGGCCAGCACGGGGCCCAGGCTCAGCGGGCCCGCCAGGTTCTGGTTGGTGAGGATGGGGTTGGCGATGAGCTGTCCGCCCGCGTGGGGCGCTGCGGCCGCCAGGATCTGCCCGCCCACGTTGGCCGGCAGGGCCGAGAGCGACTGGGGGAGCTGGACGGCGGACGTGCCGGGCAGCAGGAACTGGTTCTGGCCGGGCAGCATGTGCTGGGCGGGGATGACGATGCTGCTGCCTTGGTTCAGGAGGTGGACGCTCATGGGCTTGCTCAGGGCCCCGGGAGGCTGCGGCGGGGCGGCCCCCGTGGTGGTGGCGGGGGGCTGCTTGAAGACGTTCGCCTGCAGGGCGGGCGCCGGGAAGCCCGAAAGCACCACATTCTGGCCGGCCTTGCCCGCTGCCATGAAAGTCAGGTTCTGGGGGGCCTTGGGCTGCTGCGGGAGCCCCCCCGCCTCGCCCTGGATGGTGAGTGTGGCGCCCGCGGAGGCGAAAGGCTTGGGTGTCAGCTGGTAGAGCTTGGGGGGCAGCACGCCCGCAGGCTTGGGCTGGATGGGCGTGGGCGTGCGGTGCAGGATCACGTTGGGCGCCGGCACCAGCGGCGAGGTGCCCAGGCCCGGGGCCACGGCCAGCTGCTGCCCTGAGGGCGCCCCGGCAGCGGCGGCAGTGGCGGCTCCTGCTCCTCCGAACACAGAGTTCCCATTGAGTGTGGTGGCCACGGCGGCTGGGAGGTTCTTCTGGATGACCAGGCCGGCCCCCTGGGGCGACACTCCGGCGGACGCCAAGGTTACTGGTTCCGAGGGGCCGGCCGCCGAGGCCAGGTAGCCGCTGACAGGCACCTGCTTGGCCAGGAGCTGGGAGGTGGGTGGGTTGAGGGCCATGACCGGCTGGCCCACCACCTGGATGGGGGCCAGGCCTAGGGTGGCCGCCGTGGCGCCCCCAGGGCTGCCGTTGGGCAGGCCCTGGAGGCCTGGGATGGGCTGCAGGGTCACGTTGCCCAGGCCCACAGGCTGCAGGAAGGGCTGGACGCTCAGGGCTTTGTTGACCACATCCTGGGGTGGCACGAGGGCCTGGTGGGCCAGCACGGTGGGCGGGGCCTGTAGTCCCAGCAGGTCTGTGCCGCCCGGGAAGAGGGCCTGGGGCCCCGGGGCCACGGCGGCAGCCCCTCCAGCGCCGGCCGGGCCTGCCCCGCCATCCGCGGGCTGCAGGGTGGGCAGCTGGAAGGGGCCCAGGTCCAGCTCGGCCTCGGCTTCGAGCGTCTGCTCGGTGATGTTGGCCTCTTGGAGGCTCTGCTGGAGGATGTCGCAGGGCTGGTCGGTGCCCCCGCTGCCCCCACCGCCGCCCCCTGCCGTGGGCGAGCCCAGGATGTCATCTTCCAGGAAATCTAGGTCCACGCTGGGGGCTGGCTGGCTGGGCTCCGGGTTCAAGTGGTTGCCAGAAGCTTCTTGCACATGGAGCTGGAGGCCAAACAAGGTGGGAAGGAAAGACCTGAGATTAGCAAAGGGCAGGGCTCAGGACACAGCTCAAACAGGGGACACTGTGGGTCAGGGTGGCACAGTAAGGAAGAACATTCTTTTCGGAAGCGTCTGGACCCGGGTTCAAATCCCAGCTCCACCAGGGCTTAGCTGTGGCACTTGCTTAACCTGGCCTTGTTCCCCAGCTGCACACATCAGTAGAACATAATAAAAACCATTTACTAAACCATCATACAGGCCCTTAATTCTTACCTGCAATTCCAAAACCCCCAAGCTCTGACAACCACAAGTGTTTTCATATCGCTTTGGAAGCAAAACCTGACCAGAACTGATGCGGCGCTCTTGAAGAAAGGCATTAGCTATCCATGTCACGTGACCCCTCAAGTCTGTCCACGGAAAGGTGAATGAGCTGCTGTTATGAGCGGCGCACACACACCCGGCACCACCTACCTATCCAGGATCCGGAAAAGTCCTGAATTCAAAGCATACCTGGCCCTGAGGTTTTAGATAAAAGATCATGCTTCTATTAGCCCTGGCTGGTGTGGCTAAGTGGACTGAGTGCCGGCCTGTGAACCAGTCGCTGGTTCAATTCCAAGCGTAGGGCACATGCCTGGGTTGCAGGCCAGGTCCCCAGCAGGGGGCGCACGAAACGCAACCACACATTGATGTTTCTCTTCCTCTCTTTCTCCCTCCCTTCCCCTCTCTAAAAATAAATAAATAAAACCTTAAAAAAATAAAAAGATTATGCAAACATAGCAGCAGCAGCAACAGCCGCTAAGGCACGTAAACCTTCCTTTGTGCCAAGGGCTCCGCGAGTCTGACTTTTCTTAAATAGTTTCCACGCCCGACCAAGGACACACAGACATAAATATGTGCATGTGCATTTGAGTAAATATTGTACACGCCATCATCACGGTCCCCGCGTGGAATCCCCTCTGGTTTGACCAGAGAGCCTCCTAGGAGGGTCATGACTTTCAGCGACATCACACACAGGAGGCGTGAGAGCCCAAGCCCGGACGGCACGGGCGTTAGAAAACAACAGCAGCGAGAACAAGGCCCCCGAAGGAGTACTGTGGGCTCGGCACCATTCCTGGGCCTGCAAAGGCACCAACATCAAATGATGCTTATTGGCTGGGTTGTGGATTTAGTCATTTATATTATGAAAGATAAAGTATTCAGAATATATTAGTTATAAGAATGAAATGAAAGTTACCCTAAAGGGCCTGGCCTATACAGAAGAAGTGTTCAGTAAGTGATAGTTATGACGACGAAGAGGGAGGCGGGAGGAAGGGAGGGAGAGAGAAGAGGGAGAGGAGGAAGAGGGGAGAGGAGGAGGGGGGCAGAAGGGGCAGGAGAGAAAGGAGGGGCCCCGGCGTTCAGCCATGGGCCCAGCGCGGCCGGGCACACAGGAGGTGCTCAGTGAGCGTCCACCGCGGCCTCCGCTCTGGGCTTCGCTCATCGCCCTGCCTTCATCTTCCAGGTGGAGCCTGACCTCTACATCAGTTGACCCTCTTTCCCTGTCCAGGTCACCCCCTAACAGCGGAACGAGGACAGAACCCCAGGCCCCCACATCCCATTCTCCTGAGGGGAGTGTCCCCCGGTGTACCCCAGAGCCAGCATCCGCCTCACCTGCCCAGAACAGCTCTGCACCTGCTGACCCCCAGGTCTCCAAGCCAGGGCAGTCCGGCAGCAGAGTCCCGCCTCCACTCAACTGCTCCCAGCGACTGCCCCCTCCCCTCCACCCAGCAAAGGGCATCGTGGGGACCAGCGTGACCCCTCCCCTCTTGCCTTCGGGGCCTCCCTCCCACTGGCTGCCGCTTCAGGCGGCCTGGGTGGTGACCGGAGCCTGCAGCCCCCCCCAGGCCCCGGGGCCACTTACCCCAGGACCTTCATAGAAGGCACTTTGGGCCTCCCCGGGGTTATCCAGGAGGTCATCGCTGTCGAGCTGCAACAAGACCCGCCCCCACCCAAGGTCACAGGTCAGCTGGGCAGTGAGCCAGCCCCTGCTCTAGAACAAAAACCAATTTAGGGTTACATGGGACAAAAAGACAAAGACAGGGTGGGGGGCAAGGTGTCCCCAACACTGAGTCCCTCGGCCTGGCTTCCAAGGTGCCCCCGACACCGTGGCGGCCTCGGCTCGCGAATCCTGCCTTCACGCCTTTGCCGGGCTGTGCCCCTGCCTTTCGCCCTCCGTCCCTTTGGCAGCACCTCCTTCAGGGCTTGTCACACATGCCACCTCTGCCCAACAACTCTCTGTCCCTCCTCACGAAGTGACTCCAAGTACCCAGCACAACACGGCCCCCCGCACCTGACCGGCGGTGCCTAGCCTTCCTCTGGGAGGGCAGGGGCTGGCTGATTTCTAGGGGCACCTTCAGCACCTGGGACAGAGCCCAGCATCTGTGCGCGCGCTCCGGGGACCGTCTGTGCACCCACGGCCAAGGCGGCCTCCCCGCTCCCTCCCTCCAGCGGGACGCCCCTCCCGAGCCCCAGGCTGGCATCTCCAGCAGCCCCCCATGGGTTTCTGGAACCCACCCCAAATTCCCAGTCGCGCACAACGGCACCACAACCCACTCAGTTGCTCAGGCCAAAATCCAGGCAGCCTTCTAGACACTCTTTCTTCCTTGGCATCAAGTCTAGTAGGCTCTGCCTCCCAGAGACCCCCAAGCCCGCGCCCGCGCCCCCGCCCCCGCCCCCCGCGCTGCCTGCCCCAGGGCCCAGGTCCCCGTCACCCTGCTGCGCTCGCCCCCTCCGCCCACCGACCCCGCTCCTTCCCAGACCTGGCGCTCCCTCCCCCTCCCTGTGAGAGCAGCTGGCTCAGCGACTCGCATCGAGTGACTACAACCCGATGGGAGTGACAATGTGTGACTTCGGAGACTCGGTCATAGAAGGCACCGCGCTTCCTCCTGGCTCTCTCCCTTGGGTCACGCGCTCTGGGCGGACCAGCTGCTGTGCCACGAGGGCGCTTACGCTGCCCCAAGGAGATGTCCTCGTGGCGAGGAGCTGAGGCCTCCAGCCAATGGCCATGGGAGTGAGTTACGGTGGAAGCACGTCTTCCGGCCTCAGATGAGGCCTCAGCTGACATCTGATTGAGGCTCCACGGGAGACCCCGAGCCAGGCCACCCAGCTAAGCTGCTCCCTGATTCCTGACCCTCGCTGAGCTCTAACAAATGTTTTAAGTCACTAAGTATTGGAACATTTTGTTACGCAGCCCTGGGTGACTGATACAACCCCTCGGGGCTCACTGACTCCCCCTCCCCTGCTCTGCCCCACTCTGTGGGGTAAGACTCGAACACGCCATTCCTCTGCTTACGAACCCGTCAGAGACGCCTGTCACATTCAAAATAAAACCCAAACTCCTCGATCCAGGCCTTCCAGGCCCTGCAAGACCTGGTGACTTTTGTCACTTCCAGCCTCACCTCCTACTAGTCTCCCCTTCGGTCCAGCCCCACCGGCCTTCTTTCTGTCCCGCGAACATGCCAGCTTTCCTCGCCCTGCACCCGCCCTTGGCCTGCCTGGGGCACCGTGGCCGCCTCCCTTTGATCCTTCAAGTTCACCTTCAATGTTACCTCCTCAAGAGTGGCTCTCCCTGGCCACACTAGCTAAAGAAGCCCCTCCCCTCCCCATTCATTTTTCTGAAGTCCCTTTTGTTGTGCAAGTGACACTATCCTTTCCCGTCCTCTTCTGCATGGTGCTCCCCACCGTCTCCTTTATTGGTTACTGGTTCCTCGGTTGACCAAGGAAGTGTGTACAGTGCCAGGACCGGAACTGGCCACCTCTTCTGCTCCCCACCCCAACCCCGCTGCCTGGCTCAGAGAAGTCGGGAGGCGGATGTCTGCTGAGCCAGGGGACGCGTCAGCCCCCAGTCCCACCGCCCCGGCCCCGGGACCGCCTCCCCGCCCGGCACTCACCTTCTCGGATCCATGCAGGAAGTCATTGAGGGCCTGAGGGTCACTGGAAGAGAGGAGGGAAGAGGCACTGAGGAGCTGGGGGGGAGGGGGGGCAGGGCAGGGGAGGGAGAGGGAGGCAGGAGGAGCGCGTTACTCACCAAATCACGTCCAGTAAGCATCTCCCATCCTCATCATCCATCGCCACTGCATGGGGCGGGGCGGGGCGGGGCAGGAGGAGCCGGGTTAGAGTTCAGCAGCAGGTCAGAACCCTCCCTTTGAGGACCGATCCCGGGGTTGAGGCCCCCGGGGCGCCAAGCTTTCTGTTCCCGTGAGTCTGTGGGTGTGGGAGGGGCGGGGGCAGCTCTCGGGGGCCCTCCCTGCAGAGGCTCCGGACCAGCCACAGCTGCCTCGTCCTCCTCCCCTCTCCCTCTCTGTCCCCAGAATCTGAAAACGATGATGATGACATCACCCAAGACTAAGGAGCCCGGATCACGTGCAGCTCCAAGCTAAGCACTTCGTGCACTCCTAACTCATCCTCACGGTACCCCTGGAGGGGGCTCCTGCCACCCTCACGGTGCAGGTGAGCAAGTGGAGACATGGAGACCCTCGCCCTCCGCCTCCCAGCCGGCTGGCGGCAGAGCCAGGCCTTGTGCCCAGGAGGCCGGGCCCCGGAGCCGGGCTGTCCGCTGCCACGCCGCCCTGCCTGCCTGAGCGCGGGGCCGGCCTGGAGCGCGCTGTGCTAGGGGCCTGTCCCGCAAACGGACGGGAGACAGAGGGAGGGGGTGCAGGAAGCAAGAAGGGCCTCCCGGCCCAGGTTCTGGGACCCCCTTGAAGACTTATCCAGAGTGGCCCCCACAGAAGGTCACAGCGGGGAGAGGGGGCCCCAGGAGCCGGGCAGAGCCGTCAGCAGGACCGTGGTGAGGGCGGGGAACCTGCGCCTGGTGATGCCGCGGCTCCGGCCCCTCCCAGGTGCTGCAAGGATGCTGGCTCGTTCCAGCCCCGGGAGCGGGGAGCATGACGTCGGCCTGCCCTGCAGGTGAGGGGGCTGAAGTTCTCTGCATCTGCCCATCTCCCCCAACCCCCTAACCTCCTGTCTTTCCAAACACCCCTCCACTCCTCGGAGCTTCCGCCTGCCCATCTCACCAAACTGCCATCAAACGTCCGTCTTGCTCCTCTCTCTTCTTCCAACACACAAATGACCCTCCCTGCCACCTACTCATCCTCTCTTCCCAGGGGCACTTGGGGACACAGAGAAGTCCTGCCCGGTCCCTCAGGGGGCCGGCCCAGGGCCATGGAGTCCTTGCCTTTGTTTTTGGAGAGGGACGTCCTGAACCTGAGGATGCTGTGACTGTTGGGGACCCCCTGCCCCCACCACACACACACACAAGTCTCACAGCTGGTTCGAACCCCTCACCCTGACAGCACTCTCTGAACAACCCCGACTGAAACCCTCTAATCACCACCCCAGCTCCCAGGACCTCAACTGCTCTGTGACACAAAGACGAGCCGGCGGGGGACCTCTGAGGGCTGGGGGAGGTCCTCCCCGAACAGCGTCTGGGAGGAGCTGAGGACCCCAAGACACTCTGGCCAGAAGCATGGCTGTGGCCTAAAACGGTACCCATGCTTCCCAGGGTTCACTGCGCATACATGTATGTACATCCACACGTGCACCCCGCATGGGCCCCAGGTCTATGACAGCACAGGCCACGCAGACAGACTCGTGCATTCCCACAGCCTCGCGTGCCAATCACTCTCCGTCCCAGAGCTGGCCATGGGGACCGTCCCGGGAAAGGCCCTTCCTCGGCTTCCCAGCCACGTACACTTCCTTCTCCCTGTGGCACCAGATCCACAGCCTCCAAGCCCCTGCCCTTCTCAACCAGCCACGGGGGATGGGGAGGAACCAGGCCCAGCCAGGGAGGAAAGGGCAAGATCTGCACGGAATCTGGAGAAAAGGGAGAGGAAGGCCGGCCGGCACGAGTGCGGAGGTAGCGGGACCGCCCAAGTGACCTGGGGCCCGGCTGGACAGGGGGCGGGGGTGGGCGGGTGCTGCAGGTCATTACTGATCCAGCCTCTGCCAACGCGGTGTGGTCCCTCCCAGCTCAGGGGCCCAGGTGGGCCCAGGAGGGGAAACTGAGGGACAGCAGCCCCTCCGGGGATGCACGGGGACCCTCCGCTGGTTACCTGTGCTACAAACGAATCATGAAGGGAAGGAGGGGGTGTCCGCTCCAGGTCTACGCGGGGCCCCCAGCCGGGGACGTGGGGAGTGTCCTTTCGGGGGCCAGCTGTGGAGAGAGAATGACACAGAGGCTGTGAGCGAGAAAGTCAGCAAAGGAGAGAGAGGGGTAGCCAGAGGGGGCGGGCGGAGCAAGAACGGGGAGAACAGGAGGGAGAGGGGAAGGCTGTTAAAAGGAGAAGCCAAACACAAGCGTAAAACCACATAGAACGACACCTTACATTATCGAACATACATACATACTGTACATACGTACACATGTATAATATTGTAGATATATAAACCTACTACATAATAGTATATTACATCATACAGTATCACCGGCACATCAGTGTGGCAAAACAGTCAATTCTGGCTACTCGTGGTACTTTTGTTCTATCAAATTGCCATGAACACTGAATCAGTGAAAGCTGAACCGCCACTCCTGGGGGAAATTCAAGGGACTCAGTTCCTACAAGCGTCTTGCCCCATCTTCACCCTTCGTGCTCCTGTTTCAGGACACCTTCTTTACTAGGAGCAGCGGGTGTGCTGACATGGGTCACACAGCCGACAGCCCTCTCGCTCGCCTGTGAACGAAGCTTCTGGAACACAGGCCTCCTCCCTGAGGGCGCGTCCCTGCCTTCCCGGTCTCCGGGATGCTGGGCTTCAGCTCTGCGCTGGGTGGCACAACAGCGCCCTCAGCAGACCCCCGCATGCCTGTGCCTTCCACGGCTCTGCACGCGCCTGCAAGTGACCGGGAAAGCAGCCGAGGGCTGAGAGCTGGGGGTTACAGACGTGAGCGAGCGGGCACGGTCGCAAATGCAGGCTCCGTCAAGGACGGGGTTCCGCCATAATAGGGAGGACATGTCCCCATGATTGTGGGCCCGCTGTGCGCTGGCCCTGGCTTCTAGTGCTCTGCACACCCTAACCCTTTCCACCTCCTCTAAATGCCTGCGAGGGGGAGGTTTTTAGGAGCCCCATTCTGCAGAGGAGGGAACCGAGGCTCAGACCAGTCAGCGCTGTGCCCAAGATCCCTCGTCCGCGGTAGCCGGGCTGGGACTCGAGCCAAGGCAGGCTCACTCCAGAGTCGCCCCCACTCCCTTAACCGCTATCACACAGAAGATGCCGGGAGCATTGTTTCTCTTTGAAGATCTGAAGCAAACATGGCGAAAATGTGGCGATAAGCCGGAGGCGGGTGACCTGCTCCTGCAGGCTTTTGTTATCACTTCAGGAACGGCCTGGATCCAGATTCCAGGCGATAATAAAGAGAGTGATAAAGAGAGGCTTCCCCTCCTCCTCATCCCAGAAAGACCTACAAGACCCGGTGTGCCACCTAGATTCCAGGGACACCGCCCTGGTCTGGAGAGACGCTCCCCTCCCCGCGACCCGGGTGTGCCCCCCCCACAACCAGCCAGAGTGGCTTCCCCAAACCATCCACAGGGGAACGTCCACAGGGGAGGCTCCAGGCTTCTCCTCCAGACCTTCTGATCCAGGCATTTTCGTCCCAATAGTAACATCAGAGACACGCGCGGGGGCAGGGGACTGACCTACACTGTGACGGGGCGTCGCCCTGATTTGTGCATCACAAGGCATGTAAATGTCACCTTTAGAAACTAAAAAATAAGTCATCCTCATGGAGTGGTGGGGGAAGAGGAGAGGCATGATGAGCAGCAACGCACTGACAACTGTCGGAACTGGGTGGCAGGTAACCGGGTGGCAGGTAGCTGGGGGCTCCAGCACATGTTCCAGGTACTTTGTGTATTCTTGAGACTCCACAATGAACAGAATGTGATGCCAACGTTTAGCAGGTCTGGGCTCCTCTGAGATTTGGGTACCCAGGTGGCGTCTCTCTCCCACGGGGTTGACGCCAAGTGGCCCAGCGTGGGATGACAGTTCTGGGGTTGGGGTCAGGGTGGTTCAAGCCCCTGCTGCCCCTGCTGCCCCACGCACAGGCCGGGTGACCAAGGGTGACTGACTTCGCCTCCCTGGGCCTCCGTGCCCCCGTCTGTCACATGGCACGACACCAGGCCCCGCCTCTCCCATGGCGGCGGGGGGGGGGGGGGAGGGGCTCTCAGCAAGGGCCTGGACTGCAGTCTGTGTACTGACACTGCTGGTCTCGATATCAGCGCTCTGTGTTCTGTGAGCACCACCGAACGAGAAAAGGTCAGAGGGGCAGAGGCCTCCAGCTTCTGCCCTCTGCCCACAGTTCCCTCTCCACAGAGTCTCACACGGATTTCAGGCCCCATCCTGGATCTAGATGGTCAGGAACCGGGACGGGGCCAGAGCTGCGGCATCTTTAACAAACGCCCAGACTCGGAGTGGCCGGCCAACTTCTACCAAGCGGCCGTGAGCACGCCGCTGGCCCAGGGCTCCCGGCAGGAATCGAGAGCTTTGCCGAGGCGGGCGGTGCGTGGGTAGAGAAGGCCTGGCTTCGCACCCCGGCATGGCCACTAACCAACTGCGTGCCCCACAACAAGTTACTTGGCCCCCTGTGACTTTCCTCCCATCTGGAAAATGCAGACAGCGTTACGATCCCCCAGGAGATCGTTTTACAGGAACACCTTTAAACCTCACACATCTTGTAAGTGATGTATATACTAGTTACACAGACACACCTCAGAGATATTGCAGGTGTGGTCCCAGAACAGTGCAATGAAGTAGCGCAATAAAGCACCTGAGTCATAATCTTTTTGCTGGTGGAGGTCTCACCTTCAATTTGTAAACAAAAACAAAAACAACAATATCTGTGAAGTGCACTACAGAGAGGTGCACCTGTGATCATTTTAACGGCCACTGGGAATACGCACTCTGGCCACGCCCAAAGCTTTCTGGTCACAGCTCAGTTCGGGGGACAAACGTCCCAGGCCCCAGGTTTTCTACCTGGTGCCCTTTGCCGTGTGTCACCCTTGAGCCCGTTTGGGAGGGTTTATATGTCACACTTCAGCCGTGGGTTATGCACACAGTCCGACTGAAACCGCGGCACAGGCTCCTCAAATCCATCCAACCCTGTCATCGCCCCCACTTCTCAGATGACATCATCAGGGCCAAAGAGAGCCGTTATGGGGAAACTAGGGGCCACACACAGGGAAGAAATGTGCCTGCCACCCGCCTGCCCGGGGTTCGGCAGGCATGCCGTGGCTCCCAACCGGCAGGCAGAAGGAGCCTTTCAGGGCACGGACGAACCCAGCTGTTGCAAAAGAGACTTTGAGGTGCCTGGATATTTGATGATACTAAGAAATTGTGATTACGATTCTCGGTGTAGCCCTAGCTGGGTGGCTCAGCTGGTTGGAGTGTTGTTCTGTACACCAAAGGGTTGCAGGTTCAATCCCCAGTCAGGGCAAGTACCTAGGTTGTGGGTTCGACCCCTGGTTGGGGCACATACGGGAGGCACGATTTTCTCTCTCTCTCTAAAATCAATAAATGTATCCTTGGGTGAGGATTTTTAAAAAAATTCTAGGTGTAATAATGACACCATGTTCTCCCCCCTCCCTTTACAGTCCTTAACTTTTAGAAACATCTAAGAGTAAAATGACAGAATGTGATTTACTCCAAAACAATCCAGTTGTGGGTGTGTAGGGGGCATGCAGCCCCACGCCACCCAAGACAGTGCCCCTAGCCACACGTGGCTGTGTGCGCTTTAGTTCCAGTTAAGTAAATAAAAGTAGGGGAAAGGACTTCGACATGTCTCCAAAGGAGACACACAAGCGGCCATAAGCAAGTGAAATATGATCAATGTCACTAATCATTAGGGAAATGCAGTCAAAGCCACAGACGCTGCCTCACACCCGTTAGGGTGGCCGCTGTCCATGAGGCAGAAGATCACAAGTGTCAGCGAGGATGAGGAGAGAGCGGAACGCTTGTGCGCCGCTGGTTCGCGAGGGGACGCAAAATGGTGCAGCTGCTGTGGAGAACAGTCTGGCGGTTCCTCAAAAAATTAAAAATAGAACCACCACGTGATCCAGCGATTCCACTTCTGGGTAGACACCCAGAAGAACTGAAAGTGGGGTCTCGAGGAGGTATTTGTCCCCCATGTTCACAGCCGTGGGGGTCACAATAGTGAAGGTGCAGAACCAACCCAAGTGTCCGTCCACAGGTGAACGGACAACCCGCGTGGTGTGCACAGACAGCGGCGCCCCCTCCGGAAAGGAGATCCGGACGCAGGTTCAACATGGAGGACCCCTGAGGACACCGCGAAGTGAAACGAGCCAGTTACCGAAAGACAAACGCGCTGTGACTCTACTTCTGAGGAACTCAGAGAGGAGGCAGGAGGGTGGTTGTCAGGGGCTTGGCATGGAAGGGGGACCAGGGAGTCATTTTACTGGGTGCAGTTTTGGTTCCGCAAGATGAAGAGAGCTCAGGAGGTGGACCCAGTGATGGCTGCACAACAGTGTGCATGTGCTTAATGCTGCTGAGCTGTGCACTTAAAGAAGGCCAAGATGGTAAATTTTACATTACATGTATCGTACGTACCACAATTTAAAAACTGAGCAAAAGGACAATTAGGAATATCGGAGTTTTAAATATAGATATTAATATTAAAAATTTCAATGAAATGAAGCATTTAGATGTGTCACGTAGGTGACATTTCAAGGGCCCCATAACTGCCACCTGTGGCTGGTGGCTGCAGCAGGGGAGGGCACAGATGCAGAACTCGTCCATCATGGCAGAAAGCTCCCTGGACAGCGCTGGTCGGAAGGAACGGTGGAAAAGCTGTGGCTGGTGTGGTTCAGTTGGTTGGGCTCCTCCCACAAAGAGAAAAGTTGCTGGTTCAATTCCCAATCAGGGCACATGCCTGGGTTGCAGGTTTGGTCCCTGGTCAGGGCAAAAGGCAGCCAATTGATGTTTCTCTTCCTCTCTCCTCCCTTCCCCTCTCTCTTTAAAAATAAAAATAGGAAAAAAAATGGTGGAAAAATGAAAATTGGTGGAGTTGGTTGATTTGCCGGGGGCTGGGGTTTGTCCATGTTTTACTATCCTCTCTACTTTGTGCATATTTAAAATTTTCCATAATGAATCCTGGCTGGTGTGGTTCAATGGATTAAGCACAGGCCTGAGAACCAAAGGGTCACTGGT